CTTAATATAAAGATATCAATATTTGAGTTTTAGCAACAAAAAAATGTTCGTCAAAAATTGTTTTGGTAAGCCTATAGCCTTGCTTATTTTCACGAAAAATGGATCTCAAAAAACCTGATTTTTTATCATCGAAAGGCATGAAGCAAGCACAAGACGTGGTGTATGTCTCTATAATTCTTAATATAAAGTATAATTTAAAGGTCTTTTAGCAAAAAAAAAAGATTACGTCAAAAAATTGTTATTTTGGTAAGCCTATAGCCTTGCTTTTTTCACGAAAATGGATCCTCAAAAAACTGATTTTATCATCAAAAGGCATGTACAAGCACAAGGCGTTGTGATATGTCTCTTGGTTATTCTTAATGATAAAGTGATAATATAAAGGTCTTTAGCAACGAAAAAATGGTTGGTATCAAAAAATTGAGTTTTGGTAAAGCTATAGGCCATTTGCTTTTTTCACAAAATGAGATCTCAAAAAACCTGATTTTATTCATCAGAAAAAGGCATGTCAGCAAGCACAAGGCTGTGGTGTATGTCTCTTAATTCTTAATATAAAGTATAATATAAAGGTCTTTAGCAAGCAAAAATGTTGGTCAAAAATTGTATTTGGTAAGCCATATAGCCTTGCTTTTTTTCACGGAAAAATGGATCCTCAAAAAAACCTGATTTTATTCATCAGAAAAGGCATGGAGAAGCACAAGGCGTGCTGTGTATTCTTCTTAATTCTTAATATAAAGTATAAATTATGCGTCTTTAGCACAAAAAAATGTTGTCAAAAATTGTATTTTGGTAAGCCTAATAGCCTTTTCTTCACGAAAAATGGATCCTCAAAAAACCTGATTTTATTCATTCAAAAGGCATGTAGCAAGCACAAGGCTGTGTATGTCTTCATTAAATTCTTAATATATAAGTAAGTATAATTATAAAAGGTCCTTAGCAACAAAAAATGTGTGTTCAAAAGAAATTGATATTTTTGGTAAGGCCTTAATGTAGCCTTGCTTTTTTACACGAAAAATGAATCCAAAACCTGAATTTTTCATCAGAAAGCATGTAGACAAGCACAAGCGTGGGTATGTATGTCTCTTAATTTCTTAATATAAAGTATATATTAAGGTCTTTAGCAACAAAAAATGTTGCGTCAAAAAATTGAATATTTTGATAAGACTAAGCCTTGCTTTTTTACACGAAACTGGATAAACCTCAAAAACCCTATGTCTTTCATCAGAAAGGCATGAAGCAAGCACACAGGCGTGGTGTATGTTCTTCATTCTTAATATAAGTAATAATATTAAGGTCTTTCAGCAACAAAAAATGTTCGGTTCAAAAAATTGTATTTTGGCATAGCCATATAGCCTTGCTTTTTTCACGAAGAAAATGGATCCTCAAAAAACCTATTTTGTATTTCATCAAAGGAATGTAGCAAGCACAAGGGTATGTTGTATGTCTCTTATTTCTTAATATAAAGTATAATATAAGTCTTTAGCAACAAAAATTTGGTCAAAAAATTGATATTTTGGTAGACCTATAGGCCTGCTTTTTTCAGACGAAAAATGGATCCTCGAAAAAACACTGATCTGATTATCAAAAAAGGCACTGTAAAGCACAAGCGTGCGTGTAATGTCTCTTAATTCTATAATATAAAGAATCATATAAAGGTCTTTAGCAACAAAAAATGTTGGTCAAAAAATTGTATTTTGGTAAGCCTATAGCCTTGCTTTTTTCACGAAAATTGGATCCTCAAAAAACCTGATTTTTTTCATCAGAAAGGCATGAAGCAAGCACATTGCGTGGTGTATGTCTCTTATTTCTTAATATAAAGTATAATATTAAGGTCTTTAGCAACAAAAAATGTTGGTCAAAAAATTGTATTTTGGTAAGCCTATAGCCTTGCTTTTTTCACGAAAAATGGATCCTCAAAAAACCTGATTTTATTCATCAAAAAGGCATGTAGCAAGCACAAGGCGTGGTGTATGTCTCTTAATTCTTAATATAAAGTATAATATAAAGGTCTTTAGCAACAAAAAATGTTGGTCAAAAAATTGTAATTTGGTAAGCCTATAGCCTTGCTTTTTTCACGAAAAATGGATCCTCAAAAAACCTGATTTTATTCATCAGAAAGGCATGTAGCAAGCACAAGGCGTGGTGTATGTCTCTTAATTCTTAATATAAAGTATAATATTAAGGTCTTTAGCAACAAAAAATGTTGGTCAAAAAATTGAATTTTGGTAAGCCTATAGCCTTGCTTTTTTCACGAAAAATGGATCCTCTAAAAAACCTGATTTTTTTCTTAAGAAAGGCATGTAGAAAGAGCAAGGCGTGGTGTATATCTCTTACCTGTTAATATAAAGTATAACATTAAGGTCTTTGCCATAAAAAATGTTTGTCAAAAAATGATAATTTTGGTAAGCCTATAACCTTGCTTTTTTCACGAAAAATGGATCCTCAAAAAACCTGATTTTTTTCATCAGAAAGGCATGTAGCAAGCACAAGGCGTGGTGTATGTCTCTTAATTCTTAATATAAAGTATAATATTAAGGTCTTTAGCAACAAAAAATGTTGGTCAAAAAATTGTATTTTGGTAAGCCTATAGCCTTGCTTTTTTCACGAAAAATGGATCCTCTAAAAAACCTGATTTTTTCTTAAGAAAGGCATGTAGCAAGCACAAGGCGTGGTGTATGTCTCTTAATTCTTAATATAAAGTATAATATTAAGGTCTTTAGCAACAAAAAATGTTGGTCAAAAATTGTATTTTGGTAAGCCTATAGCCTTGCTTTTTTCACGAAAAATGGATCCTCTAAAAAACCTGATTTTTTCTTAAGAAAGGCATGTAGCAAGCACAAGGCGTGGTGTATGTCTCTTATTTCTTAATATAAAGTTTAATATTAAGGTCTTTAGCAACAAAAAATGTTGGTCAAAAATTGTATTTTGGTAAGCCTATAGCCTTGCTTTTTTCACGAAAAATGGATCCTCAAAAAACCTGATTTTATTCATCAAAAAGGCATGTAGCAAGCACAAGGCGTGGTGTATGTCTCTTAATTCTTAATATAAAGTATAATATTAAGTAAGGTCTTTAGCAACAAAAAATGTTTGTCAAAAACGGTAATTTGGTAAGCCTATAGACTTGCTTTTTTACCGAAAAAAAAGATCCTCTAAAAAACCTGATTTTTCTCATAAAAAAGGCATGTAATTAGAACAAGGCATAGTTTGTGTCTCCTTATGGTTAATATAAAGTATAATAGAAAGGTTTATATGCAAGAAAATGTTTGTGAAAAATTTGTCATTTTGCGAAGCATATAGCCTCTTTTCTATGAAAAACAAATAAAAAAATACTAAGTACGCCCGTAATTATGTTTTAAAATGTTTGACTGCCAGTTTTAGGTTTTATTTCTTTCTTTAAGAGTTTTTTGGCTTAACCTTTTGCAGTGAAAAAAGAAATAGGCGTTTTTATGGAGTTTAAAAATCAATGTAAGTGGAAAACCTTGCTTGGCAAATCTATACGAACAACTTAAAAACGTTTGGCCTATGTAGAAAAGGGAGGAAGCATGTCAAGGGAAAATTGATCGTAAAGATAAGGTTTATTAAACTTACCAATGAAGTTTCCCTTTCTGTCATTCTCTGAACCATACTTCCACTAAAGCACTTCTTTGAATCAAACTTGCTAATGTTGTTACAAGCAGTTAAAACATAAACATCATGGCGCGAAATTCATGAAAGCCTCGTAAATGAAACAAACTGCCTAACCAATTTACGCTACACTGATTCTACAATCTACTGTGAACAATGCATTCTGGACGTGCACACTTTTCGCACTCCCCTTGTCTTGGGATTTCAATGAATGTGTACAATTATCCCACAAGGAACGAGCGTTAGATAGGAGTTTCGGTGGGTTTTCTGAATGTTTAGATTAGCAAACGACGAAAAACAGCAGTAAGCAGGAAAAACAAATTGCCCAGAAAAGACAAGATGTATAGAATATTAATTCATGGCACGAAAATGTTTAGAATTCAAGCTGACCAGAGACTCCATTGTATTGCAGAGTGGCAAAGTGACGTCATTAAAAAAAAAAAATTTTTAGAGTTTTAGACTTCACTCCATATTCTGAAAGAACGCCATGAAATACTTTAAAATGTGCAAAATCAGTTGAATATGTTTCAAGCGGACCGAGTTATGGTAACATGAGCACAGGCCCTTTTCCCATCCAATCACTGTAAATCGGCACTGGTTCCAAAATTTATGAACCAGGCCAAAAGAACATTAATCCATTATTAAAACTGATGTCTTTAACTAATATCTCAGTCAATTTTAAACACTTTCAACTCGATTTTGCATATTTTAGAATAGGTAGAGTCCTGTTTGCTTCCAGGTCATTGGGTCAGAAATCTATAATTATGAAACAGATTTTCTTGATGACGCCACTTTGCCACACTAGGGAAATGGGATACGCTTAGGCAAGTGGACCTTAGAAATCATTTGAGACTGGATAATCATTGCATTGAGGGTCTGAAATTTTGATGTTTAAACAGCGGCTACTAGGAAATAGATTTTATCTAAAAAATGGGCTGTAGCTGACCAATTGTTACAAAATTCAAACCTTAAAACTTGCATTCAATAGGCTTGTATGACATTTGCTAAATCATTGGAGTCATACGCCTGGAGGAACATGCGTGGAGCCCTGGAGTAAAATGTTATTTTCATCAATTTTGTTAGCAAGGGGACAACAAACAAAATACATTTCTGCGAATTCGAGTGAGTTATTTCTAATACGTTTCTATTCTTTATTATTCTTTTAAAAAATCCGAAAGATATGAAAACTAGAATAGATGGTGACCGAAAAGCAACCGAATGCTTTAGGCCATATTTAGTGAATCTTGGAAGAGGATCAACAGTCTTTTAAAAAATTCGATTCAACTCAAAGCATACATAAAAAACTGCAGCTCCTTTGCTACTTCTTTTCTGTGAAAAGTATCTCAAACTGGGCACATCAATGCTACTACTGCCGGTGGCTTCGATCTTTAAACATTAGTCGTAAGTCGTAAGAGCTCTACTCGTAAATAGTCGTAAATCGTAATACCTTAGTCGTAAGAGTAAAGAAAAATGATAACCTTCACCAAACACATACCCAACATCAGATAGTGAAAGCAGAGAGTTATTCCTTGCATTAAAACCAGCTTTGAAAATTGGTCTCTTTTCTAATTAAAGACAATGACTTTTCTAAACCCAAATTTGCTCTATTTTTAAACTCAAACGTTTCAAAATACGGATTTATCCATTCAAGATATTTGGAGAGTTCCTAAGAGCTATTTTAAATTGAGCTCTGGTCAGTTGACAAGTCTTGCAAAGATGGACGGACAACGATATACATATCACACAAGATAATCAGCTGCCCAAAGTTTGAAGGTTCGATCAAATGAAGTAGTGGCCAAATATTTGCCATCTGAATAAAAAGAAAAACGATACAGTTACTAGAGACTAAATGATAGGATAATCAAGATTGTGCTATAAAGAGAAATTCGTATGGTTATATGAAGTCTTGATGCTCGTTGATAAAGAACAAGGTTAGCCAGGGGTTACCAGGCACAGATGGATCAAGACAAATAAATAAAAACCCATAAACAAAAAATTCACAAAAAATAATCACATGGTCAAATATTGAAAACTCTGTATTCAAATGGGAACTTTCTTGAAAACGGATGAAATAGAGAAGTTTTTTAAAGAAGGTTTTTTGCATGACTGCGAAAAGAAGAAAACAAGCAAATTACCTGGCGAGGCATCAACCGAAGTTACTTTTTGCTCGTGCCCTAACAGCGTCCGAAGTGGTGTCCACCCGGGGTGAGACCAGATCTGAAAAAAGTAATAGATTCATTAGATAAACGTAAAGGCAGAGCGAAAAAATCGCCAAGGTTTGGATAGCAGGTACAAAAAGGGGTTTACCTTTAGCACACCCTTAAAAAAATGTAATTATATGAATTAGGCCCGTACAAGTCCAAATACCAAAGCGTGTAAATAGAAAACATCGGGCACTGATAAACAGATCGGAAAAAGTAACCTGCATTATCAGAAAATTTAAATAGATATATGTTAACAAAGAGAATAAAAGAAGTTCCGCTTGGGAACAGCAAAAAGTCATGACAGCACCAATCATCGCAGCATTACAGCACATTTACTAAAATGAGCGTGAACAGAAGGAAACTTGTGGACTAAAAATTATCATCTTATGCTTTAAAATCTTTTCAACTCTTGATGAAAATCATGCAACCAAACTCAAAAGAACTTACAATATGCAATTAAGTAAAACAAAGTATACACAATGAAATCGTAGCTGCTCAACAGAAATATTCGACAATTAGATTTATAATCCAGAGGGAATCAGCAGTATTTCCAAAGAAGCTACTAGAGCAAAATTATCCGAAAAGTTTCGATTACAAGAGTTTCTGCAATGTAACTGATTTTTGCTCTTCGTTCTCTAACAGGATGGAAAAAGTATCCACAATTTTTCTACTGGAATACACAAAAAGGCGGCTGGCAAAGCAACGACTTGTTAGTAACAATCGATAAAAGGAAAGCTTACAGGGAAAAGAGAATCCTGTGTTGGAAATGTACTCTGTTCAGAACGCTGATACTTAGCTTTCTGTTTTTGCTCTATATTCTTTACATGATCAAAATAGTACTTTAGATGCAATAAATCTTTATACAAAGGCTATTTGATAAAAAAGAATCCCCGATAAAACTCCATCCCCCGATACATCGAGCCCCTAAAAATTCGAGCCCCTAAAAATTCGAGCCCCTAAAAACTCGAGCCCCCGATAGCAGGAGCCTCTAATAACTTGAGGCCCCGATGACTCGAGCCTCCGACAACTCGAGCCATGGTTATCGCTCCTTTAAAGAACAATTTTTTAGCTACGAGAGACGCATACCTTTGCACTATTGTCGTAGGAACACGTAGCTATGAACGTATCTAAGAGACAAACGTTTTAATCATTAAAATAGGCAAATCAATTTAATGGTTTCTATCTATAACGGGATTTTCAAGGATGTAGCCGGATTGAAAACTGAATACTTTTACCTAGCAAATAGCATCATTTGTTTAAGCAAAGTTTATACATTCAAAAGATATGAAGACGTCCTATTAATGTGCAAATTTGCAGGATACCTTAGCAAAACTGCATACAAGGCAGATGTAAATAACAATTGATTATATTATTGATACCATACTTAGAGTTGGATCATTACAAGGCCTAACTTACCGTTGAACAGGACATGCGATACCAAATTAGTATGGGCCGGAATAGTGTAGATTGTCTTTTGCTGTCGTAAGTCCCATACCATTGCTTTTTGGTCTTCACTCCCGCTAACTAGCTGGTACCTGAAAAAAAAGCAACAGTCTGTATCAGCTATTACAATCTCACTGAAAAATTTGTAGTGACTCTGCTTAGGCCTGTTTATGTTAATTTTTCCTTCTCGTTTATTCCGTCACATTCTCACATCGCAGCACTGGCATCCTCTACGTCATTCTCATTTCACGCATTCACTAATCCCCATTATTCGCCCTTCCTATCATTTTTTTCTCACATTATTCGTGTTAATTTTAGATTTTCATTTCTGTATAAACATACGTATGTTATTTTATAAGCAATTTTAGTTCAGCTAGAATCAAGACACGCAAAATGCACATCGTCTCTTCTCTGGCTCTGTGTTCTCCACACATTAAATAGGACTAGCTGGGTCGGAAACAACACGTTAGTCATGGGTGGATTTATTTCGCGAACGAAAGGCATCACAACAATGCGAATTCTCGTTACATTAAACATTTACTTAATGCCTATAACGTAAATATTAACAATAAACGTACCCATTGGGAGAGAAATCAATGGAAAGCACCTTTTTCAGATGGCCATCTAAACCAAGGATACATCGACCAGTCCTGAGGTCCCATAGCATACCACGTGCATCGAATCCACTGAGAAGAGAAAAAGTCGTTTTTCATTAAGGCCGAAAATAGCAACAGCTAGCATACTGATGAGCTGAGCTACATTTCTTATAGCATTCATATGATTCGCTTAATTCACTAGAGATTCTAACTTTGGCTGAACTATTGTTTGGAAACATATAAAGTAAGTTAAAATTCCTTTCCTAACTGCACTAAAAATCAAGTAAGCAGAAATTCAATTCCTACTATTCTTTGCATTATTATTTTTCCACAAACATTGAAAAATGAGTCTGTTTGGTTAGACAATTTGGCTTCTTTAATCTGTGCTTTCCATATTGTGAAAATGTTTCATTCGATAAATGCCAAGTCTTAATGTTGATCAATAGTTGTAGGTACTGTTAAAAGATTTGCCAACAACCTTTTGGTGGTACAAAAAATAAAAATGGCTTTGAAAAAAGCATCAGTATACTCAGATTTGTTTCCTTTTTCAAAGCCATTGTTAAAAAAATTTTTCAATAAAAATCAACTGTTCGTGAAAAATGTTACCATGATGCAGCCAAGGAACCATCGACTTGAAATTTAATATCGAAGCATTCTCTTGAATGTCCTTCCTGAAAGAAAAACAAGATTCCCAAGAATATTCTATAAAACCTAAAAAACTTAATTATTTCATTTGACAAGTTTGTTATCACTTTATCCATATGTGGCGGTCTTGTGGACAACTAGACCCAAACCGAAATGTCTTGTACATTTTCTTGGTACAACATTCAAACTACACCTTGGTATATAGAACAGGCTGTTTCCAAGTTGCAACCCTGAGTTTCACACTTAATGCGATCATCATGAGTGTACAGCTCTGCATATACGGTATCAAGCACTATAAGACAGGTCGGCAGCTCAGTAATTTTCAAAATACAAGCCAAAAAGTCAATTGTAAGCAACTACAAAAATCCTTTAGACAACGTTTCGATGTAAAAAACATTCCACGACAAACCTGGTGAAGTATTTCTTTTTGTTGTTCTAAGTCCCAAAGTCGCCAAGATCTATCAAAACTTTAGGTAAAATAACAAACATTCAAATACTATCAATCAAAATTAACACTTAATACTTTATACTAGCCAACCGCAGCCAACCATACGTTAATAGCCATTACTGTTATGGCCAACATACCAGAAAATTGTATTATATATTTCTGATTTATATCATCAGTTGCTAACGATTGAAAAATAATCTGGGAAATACTTCTACTGAGTGAGCATAAATGCCAAAAATTGCTTATGTTGTTAACCTTACATAGGTACTGCATACACAAAAAGTAACTCATTGAGAAATAAACAAATTTGCGGGTAAAAAGACACCAAAATCAAGTGCACTACAAGTCTAGCCCCTTCTCAAACAATAGTTCTGCAAGAAAGCTCCGCAAGGTTTGAAAAACTTTAGTCCTGGTTTCATCTTTGGAAGTTTATTGAGACGAAAAGAAGTTATTCAATTAAAGGTGGGTGACGATATTCCATTGACATGACGAATAACACAGAGGAGTAAAAACTCTTGACTTACCAAGCGGTACCGAGGAAACGGCCACTTGGATGAAACGCAACTCGAGATACCCTTTCCTCGTGTCCTTCAATGTTTGCTATTGGCGTATCACTGGGGAATAGAAGATTGTTACTTTAAAAGATGTACAATAAATTATAGCATAAAAAAATGGATCGGGCGAATTTTTATGTACAAAATTAATGGTGGGACACAACCGATAGATGTCTCGTACAAGAGCCTCAGAAGGGAGTTGGCATATTGAATAAGCATAAAATTGAATATATCAATACTAATATTTGACGGTAAAGTAAGGTAAAATTGTTTGATATTAATTATTTCCTGGCCAAGAGAAAAATGAGTTAGATCGACCAGTTTTTCTGCTTGCTATCTTCAGCCTTGCCAGTGTTAAATGTGAGTACACATTTGGCCTTGCCAGTCACTGGCCTAATCAAGGTTCGAGCCTCGATTTGAGCCAAATATCGTCAGCACTGCAATCAAACATTCTACACAAAGGTAATATAAAAATATTGCCTTTATCAACTACCTGTCCGAAATTATATGCAGAATTTGGGGGATTTAGATAGTGAGTAAACAGCATCCACAACTGGGAATACATATTATATTTCTTAGCGTCACATTTTCGACCCCTGGTCTGACGTTTTACACTCTAAGGAGTGTCCCAAAACAACATGTACCAAAACAGAAACAGGAAAAGTGATGCAACGTCAATCTGACCATAGTAACCTAATGGCAACAGAAACACAGGCACTAGGGATAGAAAATGAGAAAATATGCTTTACCTTTCAAGATTCCAAAGCAAAACACTGCCGTCACTACCGCAAGAGACCATACAGGGTGCTGATGTATCAAGATCCAGCGTGGCTCTTGGGTGGAATATAATAGCACCCACTCTCTCGTTGTGGCCTAAAGTTGAAAAGGGGTGAAATGAAGATAAAATGCAATGTGAATTAAATCGAAGCTTGCAAAATTATAATTTGAAGGCCAAAAGCGGGGCTACTTTCCGCCTATTCCAATAAATGATACCAAAGTACCGCTTAGCGGTTTAAAGTTTTTTGCAACATATTATGTCCTCTGATCAGACATTTTGTGATCTTCAATTCTGATGCTTTTCCATTTCCGCTTCTACTGTAATCCTACTCTCTAGATATATCAGCTTCCAAAGATATCTTCGAATAGAACAGACATTGAGAGAGCCGAAATACAAAAGTTATGTACGAATTTTCAAATTGCAATTAGGATTTTCTAATGTGCTAAATATTACATGTATTGGAATTTCTAAACTTCAAAGTACAGTATTACCCCGCCACTTAGAAACCGACTTATAAGAATCTGCAGCCTGACAAACGGCACCACATCTTTCCTGATATAAGGAACCAATCAGCTTGGAATTTAGTCCGCATGGCATGGAATTTAGTACTTAGGATAGTTATATTATCTGTTTTTTTGTTTTCACATAGGAGAGCATTATCAAAAAGCTGTATTAGATTTGAATAATCTGTTCAAAATTTGGTTCAACATAACCCACATAAAAGCATATTTTATGGTTTCTTTTCAAACATACATGCACTTTTGGTGACTTTCTTGTTCAAGTAATTAGAAGAAATTGTTCAGCGTTTTCTATTTTTCATGTCTATTCATAAGAAACCAAGCACGCTGTTATCACAAAATGAGTTTCTCAGTGGCGGTGTAGTACTGTCTTGCTGAGTACAAGCCGGTCATATTTTCAGCAGCAAAAATTGCACCAACCTCTCAGAGTTCTAATGAGTTTTCCATCCGGTACTGACCACAGTTTACATAAGCCACTCCTGTTTTAAGAAATCCTTTTGGTACAAATTTGTTTAACACCAGCAAAATATTGCGATTATTTACTAGTAAATATAAAGGTCATTGAAAGAAAAATGTCTTTTTTTATGTAAAACAAAACTTTGGAACAATCAAGGGACTCCAGAGAGTCTGGGTCCAGCAGCTAGAGTTGCCCTAAATAAAATATTTCTAAACAAACGCCTCCATCCAATAACGCCTTCTGTCAATAGAATCAGCCATTTAATAAACATCGCAGATACGTGCAAACTATAACGTGGAGACGCACTCGCTTATAAAGTGAGTCAACGGAAACGCTCGTTTGCTTTAAACACGTTTTAATCCGTTTTTGATCGTTTCCACTGAGCTTGGTTAAAACGTACTCAGGCTTCAAATGTGTCCTTAGCCCGCTACACTTCAGGTAAATCAGGTTTAGATTATTATAAACAGAAACCAAAGCATGCAGAACTGTGAGAAAAATCAATGTTTGAAACAACTGTCCTTGAATTTTTTTGTAAAACGCTGTTTTCGTTTTAAGTGGATCAAGTTATCCGGGTTTGGCGTTCCCACTAAACCATTAAAAGATACCCGAGCAAAAACTGATCCACACGGAGACATGTTTTAAAACTTATATGTTTTTCAAGTGGGTAAGTGGGAATGCAATGCACAAACGGATAACTTTTAACCCGTTTTGTTTCAAGCCAGGTTAGTTGAAAGGCTGTCTTAGGGAACTTTATTTATATTATTTCTCTGTATTCTGCTGGTTGCTGTCCTCCGACAACAGCCTTAAGTGGAACTTCAAATTATGATTCGAACAGACTATCAGCTCCACGTGTTGACGAAATTAGGCTACATGGCTTTGAAAAAAGCAAACATTTAGTAAACTAAAGCTTTTCGTCTGACACTCTTCAGAGTTTAAAACGTCAGAACATAGATCGAAAACTCTACGCTAAGAACTATATATACCCAGTTGTGGATCGAAATAGGCCAATCAGAAACACGAGCACATGACTGTATAGGTTGACCAATCAGTGCCGCTTGCCTATTAGAATGTTACCAGTGGAGTCCTAAGGTGAAAACGAACTTCTTTTGTCTACACAGTAGCGGGTTTTTCGTGCTGATGTAGATGTAAAATGCTTATGTAAATTAGGCTAGATACAATTAAACAACGCATTGAAAAAATTTGAACTGTAAAAACACTTACCACGATGAGGTAGCTAGCATTTCTCCATTTGGGGAAAACTTGCCAAACGAAAGTGGTCTGTCGTCTCCAATTTGACTGCAGAAGTTTGTCAACGCCTGTGAAACCCCAAAATCCTTTAGTTTACATTTGGTATTCATGGGAAATTTGATTAGAAAACAAACAAATTTCTTGCATAAAAATTTGCATTGCCTTATTTCTAGCCTCAAAGATGGTGGCATATCCCAACACTTCGTTTTTTTTATCAGAAAGCAAAGCCCTTTAGCAATAAAACTTTCCATTTCAAGCTTTAAAGTCACTTAAGCTGCATACTTAGACTTCGACCTAACTTTTTTCATGCATGATTCCTACTGCAAATCGGTCTTTTGATAATTCTCAGTGTCTTAAAGTCATGCTATCTGGACCGACAATTGCTTTTGTCTTAAATCACAACTTAAAACAAACTCATTCTTCAAGTAGCATATTGCGACTAATTACAAGCATTTTGCAACGGTCAATCCTCTTTTGAAATAACCAATGAGGTATCACAAAAACTTGGATCCTACACAAAAATGCATGCCTAAAATAATTGCGAAATGATTTTTATCTTTAATTTTATTCTTGCCAGTCAATAAAACATATTTATATATTATATACCCACCCAAATAGTTATGTTGATGTCTGCATATGAAAGAGGCATACTAAAACCTAACCGATCATGGTAAAGTTTAAGTAAACTTTTCTAGTGTTATTCAAAAATGCAAATTCATGATATGCAACCAAAGGCACTCTATCAGAATATCGATGTATCAAACTGTGATGCCTTGTACTATGCTTTTATTTACGCTATATTGACAAAAGTTATAGAGATATCCTTACCGAAGTTTTTTTCCTTATTTCCTGTTCCTTTGCTGCTTTCTCAGATTCTGTCTTTGTAGTCTGCATTTTGGCTTTTCTCAGACGCTCTTTTGCTCTTGAAAGGAGAAATGGAAAAACAAATTTATGAATACCTTTCATTTAAAACAAATAATCTTTAGGATATAGAACATCGAGATGTGATACTTAAAAGCAAAATAATTTTCCTGCAGTGTTTACAATTCCAAGGCACTCTTAACATCACAAGATTATCTCTGGGTATCCTTTTCAATAGAGGAAATAAAATTCCAGATTGTTTGAATCTTGGAATGAGTGATAAAAAAGAAATGGCAGGAACAAACCAAAATGACAATAAGAATAGGCCAATTTAACATGTCATATAGTTTATGCATGTTGAGTCCTACATTTACTTCCATCCCTCAATTCAAAGTTGGTGCATGTTCTTTAATGGTAGAGATAATGACATTGAGTCGGAGAATGGGGATGTAAGATATTGAAACTGTCTGCCCCAGATTGTAGTTCCTATAGTGCTTAAAGGTAATGCTATTAATGAAATCCTGTGATATCAATACCTTGGAAGTGAGTATTCAGCTATCCATTGCCTTGCCTTTTTCAGAGCATCAGATCCTTCATGATACCAAACCTCTTGGGCACTCTCAGCCTTTGATGAGAGAAAAAAACCAACAATGCAAAAACAGACTTCTGCATCAAATGAACAATTAACGTTTATATGAAGACACTGTAGTAACAAGGTAACAGTTAATAAAAAAGGAAAAATTCAGTTATACCCACAAACTTCTTTTAAAAAAACTATAATCTTGTTGTTTGTTTAAGCTTGACTTGGAATCATAGTCACAATCAGTTTTAATTAATCATTTGCTGAATCTGAAATTGATAGCGTTGAAAGAATAATTTAAAATGATAAAATATATTTAATATCACAGCATGGCAGTGGAAAACATAACATTGTGTTAAAAAGAAAAAACAGACACTTTAAAGATCTACAAACCACTTTTTCTTTCTCTTCAAGTTCATCTGTGATACCCGAAAGTAAGTCCTCTGTAATGATCAGAAATAAAAAGGGTCAATAAAAGAGCAATGTCCAATAGAAGAGGAAAAATATAACCTGGAAAGGGAAAGCTAGAACAGACAACTTACCTATTCCGACAAGAAGCTCTCTCAGCCTATCTCTCCTTTCTGATGGTCCTTCACCAAACAAACCTACAACACAATGCCAGTCAATGAGCATTCATGTAGCCAAGATAACAATTCAAAAGCAAACTTTTTAATATATTTCTTATTTAGAGCCACTGAAGTATTATATCTGTAAAAATTGCAACCAGTGAACTACAACAAACAATAGCACTTACAAATAGGATGACCAAGCTCTCTAAGTCTTGCTTTTACCATAGCGTCATCAGTTGGAACAGCAATTGCTCGTGCCTAAAACAATAAAAAAATGGTCCTATTGTGGAAAGATATTGTATATTTCGGTTCCATAGCTTTTTTAGATGGAGATAAGCTGTGGGATGCCTAAAACAATAAAAAAAAATGGCCCCATTGTGTAAAGATATTGTATATTTCAGTTCTATAGCTTCTTTAGTTGGAGATAAGCTGTGGGGTATATTGGGGGGTGGGGGGGGGGCAGAGCTTTCATGTGCCCTGGACATCTTTCTTTCAGAAATGACTGTGTTTGGCCAACTGTTTTTATTAATATTGCATATTTTGAAGATTTTTGATTACACAAATTTCTATTTCAAATCCTATTTTCAGTTGCAGAAAATTTTGTCAAAAAATTGATAACCTCTTTTCACAACATCTTATAAATCATGCTGAAACTTGACTTGACAAAACTAAAGTCCTAAAACATCCCAAAAACCAGCCTCCTTTGTTTGTGTCAGGCAGGCCATTTTTACAATACTTAAACCAATTAATAAAAAAATGGGGCAGTAGAAAAATAAAATATTCAAGACAATGAGGTTTCAATACAAAAACAGTAAAATGACATAGAGCATTTTCAGCAAATCCATAAAATGAATAGCTAGTTCTATCTACTCTTCTTGGAAATCATGAAGTTCAACCTTGTTCAAATCTGATTCTAGTGCACTATATCTTCTAATTACCTCTATTTTCTCAACTCCACAGTAGATCCCTTTTAAAAGATGTACTCAGACATGAAAGTTTGACATTGAATGCGATATTTTAAAATAGAGAGAAAGATTTGCATTTCATTAACTGCCCAAATACGTGTAGAAGTGGTCTCGAAAAATATCAAAATGCAAACACCAATTATAAGAAGCAATCAATAAGTTATCCTATATAACCACAAAGGTGAAAAATGTGGGACAAGCCCTTACTTACTCGCTTTCGTTTTTCAAATTCTGCTAACAGTTCCATATGTCTTTCACTTTGTTCTTCAACATTCATCACCATAGTTTCCCCTAGCAAATTAAACTTGTTAGTAAATGCTACTAGGTTCAATAATAAATTCAGCCATTGCTGGAAGACAACTTATTGAGCATCAAATATACATATAAATACTTAAATGTAAAGATAGAAAAAATATCTTTGATCTACTGAAAAGCATTGCAAGAGGGGAGGGCAGAATTGACAATTAGTTTTGCGATATTTGCATTTCACCATGCGGCCAAGCAAATTTAATTCACTACCAATGATTTAGTTCCAATTTTTGTGATTTGGAATTATTCAAAATATCAAGACAAATCACTCTTTATATTGAAAGCTAAAAATATAATAATAATGTAGGTAAATTCTATTTTATAATTATTTTATCCCTCAAAATCTGTATATTTGCAACATTGAGCTTACACTCAACAGGATAATAACACTGTCAGAAACTGACACTCAGCCAGTGGCAGTAATTATGGGGGTTTGGGGGTGGCTCGGGCTGAGGGGTTTGCCGATCAACCTCGTCAGAAAATTCAGGCTTTCATCGGATAATTGACAACTGCTTAATGTGTCGAAATTACTCCAAGAAATCGCTCTGAAAAGGAATTTTAATCTAATCTAAGGGGCGTAATTGCCAAATTTTCTACTTGCTTCGCTCGCAGGTGATCCACGTTTCCTTTTTTACCCCAGGGGCCTTTATAACCTTTCTGTGCCCTTTTTGCAAAATTTGAACATAGCATAGCTGATAAAATATTGGCCATTACCAAATAATCAATCAAACAATATATGACCAAAATCAAAACTGCTTGTGAATTGTGTATTTAATTTCAATTCCGTAAAGATCAGCCAAAATTTCTATCGAATTCTTCTAAATAAAAGTTATTTACAAACGTACTCCCACTGGTGAAAACAAGATAAAATGCATAAAATGAACATACGACTTGTCAAAAGTGTTATCGGTCTACCTCTTGTATCATCAATTGTCTTAGATGAGATATCAATCTCCATATCAAAAATCATAAATGGATTGTTCTTCTTGCTACTTAATTATGGCATGGTCAGCATCGATTTCTGAAGAGTCCCGTCAAAAAATCAACTATTTTTATCAAAATGTGCAGTTTCTTTGAAATTATACCTGGTCCTTGATGTTTTCTTGTCGGAAAATTGTAGACCTGCCCCCCCCCCCCAAATGAAAGCCTGAATTTCTGCGACTGCATTCAGCAAAAGGGTTAAACTTTGGATTTATGAGCCAAAATCAAGTTCATAACCTATGAGCCAACAAAAGAGTAGCTAGTCTGATGGCAAACTTCAAATATTTCATTGGCCATACCTCAATTAATTTTCAACATATATGCCTGATTTTGCATCTCAAAAGATATTTCATTTCTTTCTTCTGTGTGATATAGTCAAAGGTAAAAAATTCTATAAACTTTTTTTGTGACTTTACCCTTATGTACTCTATGGCCATTCTTGAGAAGAGTTTCAAAAATAATATTTTGGCAAAAAATATACATAAGAAAATAAGAAAACCATTAAAATGTATTTGGTCGCACAGTAAACAAAAAAAATTGAATGTACCCTCAGAAATGTTGATGTTTCCCGCTTTGATGGCTCGTGTAATGGCATCATCCCCATCATCATCATTGTCATCGCTGATTCCTTTCTCGGAGCCACTTTCATCATTTTCGCCTTCAGTTCTCTCTATGGCCTTTGGTGCACTGTCACCTCCATCAACAATATTTTTCACTTTCTCTTCCAAGCTTCCATAATAAATTCTCTGCTTCTTCGGAAGCGGAAGATCATCATCGTCATCTGAAAGAGACATCTTTAAAAACAAATAATTTCGCACAGGAGACAACCAAAATTCGTTCTTTAGGCCTAACCACGAGCCAGTTTGCGAGGTCATAGGTACGAGGCTATTGCAAAAGGGTTCCGAGAGATGCAGTCAACATGGATGAGATAAAACCAGAATTCAGAGATAAGAATTCAGAGACAAACTAGCCCATTTATAATTGTCATGGCATTTGTAAAACCAAACATTTCGAATGATGATAAGACCATTTAATACCCACTTGCATGGAGAATTTTGTCAACAATATGCCTACGCGTAGAGCCTTTGATTGCAAAAAACTCAGCTGAATGGGTGGAACAGTCCATGTCATTACTTTATTTTGTACCTACCCCTCACTAGTACTCGATTATAGCAATGGAACAAATTTTACTATTTGCCCTCAGCATCAACACTGCCCCTCCTGCCTTAGGCATCTTGTGCAGGCGTCCCTGTTTGCATTGTTTTTTAAAGAGGAATGCTCTCATAAGCTGAGCTAATCAAAGAGAGTACCCAAGCCAGTAGCTAACCTTGAAATTCCAAACTTGGGGGAAGGGGTGGGGGTGAAGGATTATGAAAAGCGAAACCTACGAATGATGGCATAGATGAAAGCAATTTTTCTTACTTTACCTACCATCTTTTACCTACACTTATTTTACCTACCATCGTTTACCTACACTTATCCATTATACCAACAAGCTGAGGGGTTTGCCGATCAACTGAAGTTTTGGCCGTGGAAAAAGTCTGTGACAAACACCCCCTTCCACACACCCCACGTCAAATATGTCAGTCTTCGCAGTAGCTAAGAATTTCAAGTTTTGTTGTTAAAAGGCTAGGGTTGGTTTCTCATGTGATAAAAGATTTTTTAGCATATCTGTGGTCCTTCGAAAACAGTGTCGACTACTGCTGGGGGTTTGGGGAGGGGGGTTAGTAAAGATCTCGTCCGAATGATATTGCGTCATTGAGATAAACTGTCTGAATAAAGCCTGAAACGCAATGTTTTGCCTGGTTTGGGGGGCCGCATCCCTCCCAGCTAACGTGTCTCCTTCGCCTATGAAAGGATATCAGTTTTTACATGGGCATGTAGCTAGATTTCCGGACTAGAAACCCGCGAGCCAGAATCCGCCCCGGGAAGAGAGTTTTTATGGCCTACAAGATGAACAACATTTTATTTCAATCTTTTGGTTTGCAAAGGTAATTTTCCGAGGGGTCAGAAACATTGAATGAAACACATCGATTAGCTTATCTAATATTTTCATCAAACCTGGGAGTAATGGAAAGATTTGTTCACTATCCATTGTCGCGAATTAATCCGAATCTTTGAGGACAACAGAATCTTTGAGGTACTGAGGAACAATTAACAATTCAGGATGTTTTCACCAAACGCTGAATGACATCCTTTTTTAATCTTGATTGGTTTTTCCCCAGTTTTCCATTTGCACTTATGATTGTAACAGTTTTACCTATTGTTGCAAAATATCTTTGTAATCGAGAGGTTTGTAATTGTGGTGTAATTAAATTTAAATGAAAGTTTTTAATTATTATCATCATCATTTTATTACAACAATTTTATTGCGTTTTTCTTATTACCTTTGGCCTGCTTAAAGAAAATGTCTGAAGGATCTGGCCCAGTCTCCAAAAGGTTGCCCAGCCCTGTTTAGCTTATAGAAGGTACAGTACGAGGACATATCAACTGGATTTGTGCTTGGATTACGCAGTAGAAGGAAACCGTGGTTGATGCAACTTTACAGCGAACTTGAAAGACTGAACAATACTCAATGTTAAAGACACATTATTCTGTCAGTTATGATCACATTCCTTTGTTAAGCTTTATACATTACCAATAAATCATACTGTAATATCAGTATAATGAAGTTTATACATACATATTGAAATAACAAAATGATTAATTTAAATAATTTCAGTGCGAGATAATTTAGTTACTTTAACAGATAAACGAAAGAGAAATAAAGTGGTGATTTCCCGTGCTAGAAATCTTGGTTTAGTGAAGTATTCATATAGTTCTGTTTTGGTGGAATTTAACTTCAACCGAGGTTTCTAAAGACGATTAAATCAAAACGAAGAGAACTTTTTTTATGAAATTATGCATACAGTAAGTCTCTCTGCATTTTAACACTACATACACCTATAACTTAAGCTAGCTTTTGGATCCTGTTATTACGAACTTCTGTAATACAATCACTTAATGTACTTATCTTCAGCTAAGCTAGTAGCTACAAATAGCAAATATAAAAAATAAAAAAGCTTCTACACCTTCTAGGTATATCTTTTAAAGAAGATATGCATACTGAATTGAAGAAAATAAAGTTGTCATCCACTGTGTTGTTCTCTGACTAGTAAGGGATATTTCTTCGAAATAGTGGGTAGTCGAGCAGGTGAATGGTTATACTAAAACGGTGTACAAATGAAGAATCTTTCAAAATAAATAGCAGTATTCGAAATAGCGGGTAATTGAAACAGTTTTTCTATACTTTTCCTTATAATAACGAAAGGGAAATGAAAAATTGTTCGACAAAGCCAATGTTTAGTAAAGCATTAATATCGTGCCAACTCTAGAAAAGGTGAACATCCACCTAAACATAAAGAAGGTCGTGATAATCAGAGCACTTCCATTCAAATAAATTTATATACAACTTTCTTTACCTATCTAGTATGGTAAATTACACGTGAAACTTGGAGTAGCAACTTAGAACTAAAGTGTGTACTGCTCTATCTACGCGGCATCGAACACTCTATGACCGACCGGTAAACTCCAATTTTCATATATAGTATCGTAAGGTAACTTCATATTGCCTGTTAAAAATAACGACGTATTCTCCGGGTTAGCGTAAATCGCTTTACAGTCTACAGCAGATGCTATAGAATGCTGAGAGCCGATAACACGGTCATTACAAATCTATGTATAATTGCATTATTTGGAGTCGGCCGAATCGGCAAAGAACCGGCCTTAATCACGATACCATTGGTCTCCCGGTGCTATTTATCGTGTCTATGATCATTCGAGCAAATCTCTTCATACTTTGACTTGCTGTTTCCGAATGTAAAACACTATCTAACAGCTCCTTGCCTCCTTCCTCCACCAATAATTCACAGTACTTTTGAGCTGTAAAAAACATAGTTCAACGACACAAAACGAAACAGCAAACATGATTGAATCACTGACAACGAACGAAAACGACACAATCATAACAAAATCTGGTTTTCCAATAAACAAAAATATACAAAACATTACACAACACTGATGTATCACTGGAGAAATACGTAGAAGAAATCCAAAACAATGGCCCTTCTGCTTGATGAAAATTTCTTTTTGATGCAGTTTGATATAAAGATAATGTCAACTACGCGAAAGTCAACTACGAAACTTTCCGATAAATCAAATGTTAAACAGCAAAAATGCGTGAAAAATTACAAAGAAATGTACTTTTCTTCTCAATTGTAGGATATTTGAGTAAGATCTATACATCAAATGCTTCTACAAAGTGCCGATGGGTTACTGCAACTAGGCAAATACGATTACGGGGCAAAGAGACAAAGAGGCAAAGAGATCTCGTCAAAATGACAACCAAATAATGAAACTTACGATACACTTTGGTGAGGTTGGCTAATGCCCAAATAGACCATTCCTGTCCACATCGATTGTTATCCAATGGAATAAGCCTCAACATGGGCTTCAGAGATCTAAACACAAGTGCAAATAATTGAATATCACTAAAGAGGCATTTGACAATAAAATGTTTTTTTTGGTACACGAAACAGAAGGTAATAGCACAAAAGGTGACAGTTGTTAAGCTTCTTTCAAACACACATTAATTTCCGAAGAGAATCTCATACCCTAGATTGATTAAACTAGTGTCTTTATGTACATATATATTTATATATAGTTTAGGGTTGAAGAGAATCAAACCACATGTTTAATCTCTACAAGCCTGTTTCGTGAATAACTCACTCTCCTGAAGAGTGTGTTATAAAGAGAGTTGACTATATCACGCTCTACGTGCAAACGTATTGAGTACTGCGCTACGGAAGCATTGACAGTCAAACTTCTTATATATTTATATACATAAACAGATACATATACATAAACATACACATATTCCAGATTGCGTTGTCTATCCTGACGTGACAGTGCTCGATGTGCAAAAGCACAGAGCAATAGATATAATAAAATAGAATATAGACTAGAAATGAGACATGTTCTCTGTTACTCCGAGTTTCGTGCTTGCGCACTCATCAGACAGACTCATAAGACAGACAGATATTATAGTCTGTCTGATGAGTGCGCAAGCACGAAACTCGGAGTAACAGAGAACATGTCTCATTTCTAGTCTATATTCTATTTTATTAAACATATACATGTACATATACATAAACATATACATATACATTTATACAACAATGAGGAGTGGCTTGGTTTCTATGTAGTATGTGAAGCTTTTACATTGATTACAGTCTAATACAATAGAGTGCAAAGCAACGGTAAACAATACAATAAAGAATAAGTTTTCAAGTGATGAAAATCGTTCAAGAAGAAGATTCCATGCCTGTCATAAAAGCAAAAGTTTGAAGCATTAAACATGTTTTGTTAAATATTTCTAAAGCTTCAAAAAATATGATCAAACCTATAATTGATGTTTCTGGAAGACTCGACATCCCATTCCTGGACTGATCTCACCTGCAAACAGCAAAGTTGAGACAGCAAACCAATAAGCAAAGAAGATTTTAAGAAAACTTAACAAGCATGAAAGTACAACTTAAGGAGCCTGATTTAATTTAACATATCTTGCTGAACAGACGCTTATGTGGGTAGAGCAAGCTACAGGCATGTAGATCGGTGCTTATTATAAGCTTCAATGCCTGCCAAAAGTCTTGGAACACTGACATCAATTTCCAATGTCAAAATCAATCACCCCCCTCTCCCCTACAGAGCAATGTTGGTTTACTATCAAACGGGTTAGGATTTTAGGAAGCACTTTCTTTTTGCACTTCTTGTATGATATTTCTCTTAATCATCAACATTGTTTTAGGGGGAAGGGGGCGGAGCTAGCAATTTTTTTATGAAAGGAATGAAAGATATCAAATTCAGCGTAAACTGCTGGGTGTTCCAAGTACTTTTGGCAGGCATTGTTGCTTGGATTCTGAGAATATAAATATTTCTCCTTATTTACCACTGCATCCATGCATTCTTGTCTTGATATTGTTTTAGATTGCCATTCTTCATCGCCATCTGAGCACACGTGGGACAAGACACCACCTGCGTTGTAGCTCACTTCAAAATCGTACGATGATGTGTCTAATAACTTCCTATAAGGTATAACGGAGTCTCACTGCATAAGGAGAAAAGCTGGATTGGATGAAAGCTTACGCTAAGTTAAGAGGCTTCTCTTGCCGCTAAACAAACTTTTGATTGTCTTGTCGCAAACAATTGGTATTGATTGGTTTCTGAGGCTGCGGTTGGCTCAAGAGTGAGAGAAGCCACATAAATTAGCGTCAGCTCGCAGCCAATAGAGAATGGAGCCCTATGCTGGCTTTCATCAACTGAATAATTCGCTTTGAAGAACTATTACAATCTGCAAGCTTATGAACAGTTTGTGAGTTTTAACAATTCACAGTTGACTCACATCTGTACCAGTTCCATACATTTCATACTAGTATCTGTACCATCCAATTTCATCGTTGAATTAGAAAGATGACACGGTATATCTTATAATCGGGGACTCCGGAAACTATTCAAAACTCAGCGTTTTGACACGTTCAAGCATACAAAATCTGACTGGTTGAATTAACTTGTCAAACAATCAAACGTTGCAATTAACAAAGATGCATTGGACCTTCAGCAATTTTTTGGTAAAGCGCAAAAATTCTATAGCTTTCATTGCGGCAGCTGGTACGTGGACTAGAAAACAGCATACTAGATAATCAAGACTTTGTTTTCAGTCCAACGATGAAAGTTGCTGAAAAATCTTTATGATACTCACATAAATATTAATAGCATGCTATCAACTCTGAAATGGCAGCGGAGGCTTTCGACTTCGGCAAGGTTTCCCTGTGACCATAAAAGAGAATCAATAAAGAATACAGAAAAACTTTGCAAAAATCAAAGAAGCAATTTTTGGTGCACAACAAATTTCAAATTTCAAAGAAGCATTGTACAAGGCAGATAAGATATATTGGTTTTAGAATTTACCAAACAAATACCTTAAGAAATAAGAAAAAACTCGATAATGATTTTTTTCGAAAACTCAAAGTTCCTAAAAAGAAAAAATTGCTTCGAAAGCTTCGAAAAAAAATACAAAAAAGCTTCGAAAAAAATTGACAACGTTTTCGGTTGATGACTAACTTAAAGTGGAACTGACATGAAAATAAAAAGTTTCATAAAATCCATTCATTACATTTTAGTATAGAGCTGGCAATGCTGAATCGAATGGTGTTATTGCTTCCTGCATATCTTTCCGTTAACATAATTTTTTCAAGCTCCAAATTATGTTATGTAAAAAACGAGGCCAAAGAGGAATTTCAGGAATTTGTGACGTATTCTGGTGTGTTCGTGCACCGGCAAGGTCAGTTATTGCGTACTTTAGAAGGATGGCAGAGATCGGGCATAGCAAAAAACAACCTAAATATGGCAAATATCGTTGTGCTTGTGCACTAAACAATCTAGCTGTTTGGGTAACAGTCAAATTCGCGGAAATCAATCGCAGAAGTTTCCGAAAGATGGAAAAAATAGCTTCGATTGTGGGTACAATTCATGAGAAAAAAGACACAGGGCCGGTTTCAATCCCTTCGACCCAAAACACACGTTACGTACAAGAAATATAGCCACCCTACCAAGTTTCAGTCGATTTCGAATAGTTTTACGGAAGCAGAATATGGGAAACGAAACAGGCATACGAGATCGCTGTTATAAGGCTTCAGTATGGAGCTTGAACGAGGGACGTTTCAGATATTTGCACAAAAAAGGAAAACACAACGAGACCCAAAAAACATTTTTAGTACATTAGTTCTAGGGTTCTAGCTACTCTACGAAGTTTCAATCGATTTTGAATAGTTTTAAGGAAGTAAAATATGGGGAAACGAAACAGACATACGAGATCGCTGTTATATACTATAAGGCTTCAGTATGGAGCTCGAAATAGGGGCGTTCGAGATATTCTCACAAAACCAGGAAAAAACAAGGGGTAACTAAACATATTTTATGCACGTTAATTTTAGCAACTCTACAAAGTTTCAATCGGTTCGGAACATTTTTGCAAGTGCATTTTGGGGTTTTCTTTGTGTTCAGACAGGGGTTTCCTTGGAGCTTGTTGTTGTACAGGGAATTCGATAGTTGTAGTTTCTCGCTTTAAATCAGTATACACTCAAAAAAGGTGGCTTCTATGTTGTTTTGAGTCGATTTAGTTGTCTTGCTTTGGCTCTAGTGTTGGAGATCAGTTCAAACAGGTTGTAATGTTTCATATCGAATGTCACTTCACGGGGACACTTAGGCCGCATCAAAAAAAATTCTGCTTACTTTAGATGTAAAGTGCTTCTTGTTAAGAAAAGAATAACTAAATCAACAGAAAATGGATCCAGATTTTTCGCTGTGAAATATTTTTTTGTTATCTCTATCCGAATATAAAATCTGAATGATTAGCGAAGGGTCGGCTTCGCCATCTTATATTCACCTATCATCAGAGGAAGGTGGTAATCGATCATTCTCATCGGGTTGTAACATCATTTCAACGTTACCGTTTTCAAAACTTGTTCTCTCATTTCCGACATTACTTCTTTATCGTTAGATGAAACGTTTGAATCTAAAGATTCCCATCTGACCTTGGGTTGCTGGACATTTTCTAGGCTCTGTTGAGGTTTCGTGACCGTCAACCATAGAAAAAACACCAGAATGCGTCACTCTTCCCAGACTCTTTACGAAAAACCTCCTATGAATCAAACCCCTCCCAAAATGTACTTATGGCCCTCCTTTTGAAAAAATATTTGCAGATATAGAATCAGCGATGTTTACGGCCTAAGATAAAGTCTTTTGCAAAATTTTGATTTTTCAGGTCAGTAGCACTTTAAAGAAATTTAGGGCGTAGTTGTGATTAAAAATCAAGGACAAAAACTACGTGGAATGGGTAGGGCCAGTTGAGTAAACAGTAAACTACCCTTCGGTGAGTCAAGCAGGATGGTTCAAAGTGCAACGTCAGCCTGAACATCGCATGTAGCGTGGAACTCAGAGTTGCAACTTTGAAGTTTTCTATTTCACACACCAATGTGTGAAAGCTAAACCAACACGGAATCGAATGATTTAAATCGAGTGACTTGAACCGAGTCGCTTGAATCGAATGACTTGAATCGAGTGACTTGAATCGAGTGACTTGAATCGAGTGACTTTAAGTCAGAAATCAATAGGACTATTCGCTACGATATGGCACAGAAAAGTTCAAAATAGCTCAGACCACCAGAAATAAATAATAACTCTAGTAACAGCTGCAGCAGAGAGTTTTGATACTAGCATTTTATTGTTGACTGTAAAAAGTAACTGCACAAATCTGAGAGTTTTTGTTTTGAATTAAAGAATCTCTTTATTATTTTTTGTCACGTTGGCAACCAAGACTGATAAGAATACGGAAAAATATTCTGATGCTTAAAAATCATTATTTGTTATAGGAACAAGTCTTTGAACAAATAGAAAGTACAGGCGAAGAGATACTGGCCAGTTTCTCAGAAAGTTGACAAAACTTCACGTGGCCAAATGTTATCATCCGAGCAACCCAAAATTTTAGGCTTACCATCAGGCCGAGCATACTTCTTTGAAGCTCTGTATCATCCTCAAATTCCTGGAAGACAAATACGCAAATATTTTATGCTAATTAAAAATCATTAAAAATTTTATACATTAAAAATCATTTTAGTAACCAGGCAGAATATATTCGATATGCCGTCTACACAGAAAAGCTACCTACTAGACTGGCAATCAAAGGCTGGTGATTGGGAAGATCCAAAAAGACAAGCTATTTTTTGGATGAATAAGTCACGTGTACAAGATAAAATAAAGGGTTCAAACTGATCCAAGCTCTTTTCTGGAACATCGATCATAACTTGATCACATTTCCACTTCTACCAAAAATGCACTGACAAAGTTTTTTCAGCCATTAAACTCAAGTAAAAAATATTGAGACCCTGTACAGCATATACTGGGTCGATTGCAAGATAAATGGACTTAGCTAGCAAAAGAAAACCTAAAATTGTATTCTAGCCGATGTCTTGGAAAGATTTAAATTTCTTGCACGCGCTTCCTTCGCAAGTTTGCAATAGAAAAACACACACAAACTTACATCAAGACATTGTCGGAAAAGCGCCAGCCCACCAGAATATATAAAAATTTCGCAGTTTTCAGGTGTTTCATCTAGACACAGAAACAGAATGATTCTTTATAATAAATTAAACGGTGCATTGTCGAATTACATTCTTCTACATCGAGACAAAATGTATTTGCATAGGCTTGCAACACAGCTAGCATGGGAATATAAGACTACTTTCAAAAAACTCTCTAGAAATAGTAAGTTAGGCAGATGTCCAGCGTCCCGTTTCAGTGGATTAACTAAAAAAAAATTCTCACCTAGAGGTAACGCTAAACATGTAACCCAGTTTATTGAAGTAAATAAGAAAAATTAGAGTGGAACAAAACTGAAATTTAAAAAATAAAACTCGTTTGGTTATAGACTATCTTATAAGTCAGAAAGACATAGATCTATTTAAATAAACGCTTACCATGAGCAACCTGAAATCAAATAGTACATGATGAATATGTAGAAATCTCATAGGGATGTCCATGCTAAGGATGGCAAATATGATGACAAACATGCAAAAACAATAAAACATAATACGACAGAACGTAGACTACTTTTGTACTGCATTTTTAGCAATGTAATTGATCTGAAATAAAGAAACAGTTATATCATTGTAAGTGAAAGCAAACACTAGTATATAAATATATATGCAAACAATAATTTTAAAAAAATATCAAAACACGAGAGAGACGTTGAAATATGATACCTGTTACATTCCATAAGCAGCACCAACAAGTTTTTAAGATCCTATCAATCTGCAAAATAGTTATTTCATTTATGCATTTGATACAAAGTTTCGCAAGCAAATTGGTCCTTTCACGGCAGACTTAGCAGTATTTCTAATATCATCATGGTTTACATTGTGACGTCATTCTTGTCACAACACCCTTTTGTGAATGAGCATAGGGAGATAGCGCTGCATTAGATATTAAAAATGTTATCTGATATGATCAAAAAATGCCTACAACACATAGAATTCAGAATATAGTCAAGAGCTGGAGGGAAAATACTTTCAGTTGCAACATAAGCAGATGATGTGTACTTATTCATGTTAGATATATTAATTCATGTTTATATTAGATGTATAATTTATTTGTATAATAAAATTTTGGTATTCATTATTTTTCTTGCAAAATAATACTTTAACCAACTGTAAACAAATAAATTATCATTGCTACATTACTATTATTTGCCCAGGGCATTATCCATTTCGATACAATCACATAGAAAGGTAGCTTAGAAGACAGTAGGTGTACATAGAAAACACCGAAAGGATTCCAATCTTATATAGTTTGACTAAGACTTGTCTATTTCACAATTAAACAAACTATTCGCTACATTAAGTCTAGTTGGAAATCAGTTTTTTACCTCTGAGTTTCCAACTTTTTCTCTTATAACATCAAGAATAATCTATAAAACAATTGCAGATAATGATTAAAAAAGGATAAATATAAACCTTTCATACAAACTTAAAAATAAAAAGCGTTACAAGACATTTTCAGTTATTTCAAACTCAGAATTTGCTATATTTTAGAGACAGTTTGTCAAACGAAAAATGAATAAAAATTATAAATCTTAGCATGATACTTCGTCCACTCTAAAAAAACATGTGAACAATTTCAAGGATTCTTCAAAGTTTTCGTCTGCAACTTTGAATTTCTCGAATTATTAAACAAATATGAGCCAAAGAAGGTGATATTACATTAGGAATAGAAAAATACCAGACAAATAAATCTCAGAATTCATTTCAAAATTATATTTTACAACATCGGATTCTCACCGTCGTTTTGCTATGCTTCTGACAAATACATTGTAACGCGTTACTCACGGAAAGATTCACAGAATCCAGCAGACAGCCTATCCTGCATGAATCTCATATGCATAATTATAATGATATGCCTAATAATTTGCATAATTTGCATGAAACTTTTATACATGGGCTAAATACTTACAATAATAGCTCCGAGCCTTCCAACTGTCAGCTTGAATGTAGATGACTGTAATAAAAAACTTTTCGTTATAAAGAAAAATATATTATAAATGTATATAAAGAAAAACGGATATGGTTAGGTTAACAATCTTATTGTCATGAAAATAGAGAGGCAGTACTAGTGAAGAGGAAAAAGCTCTGGTACCAAGTGCTTCCCTAATAATGCTAGTAACATGGTAACGAAATGCTAATCTGGTTGCAAAAAGAGGAAGACCATTCCCATTTTATATAAGTATATGCCCGTGTACATAGAGGATATGCAAGGACCGAAGGGCATATTACAGATTGAGGGGGCTAATAGGTGTCCTCTCCCCTCTCCCAAATTAGCCCTCCCCCCAAGGGGGATAGTAAAAAGCTAAAAGCCAAGAGCAAGGCGATTTTTGGTATGGTTTTAGGAACATTTGGGAAACTTTTGGGGAGGTCTAAGGCCCCTGAGCCCCTGATCCCGTGGTCCCTTGAAAATATGTAGAACAAAATGTAGACTTTGCTGAAAAAATTGTCAAAATAATCATCAGTTATAATAGTGACAGTAACACAACAAAAAGCACATACATGGCATATAATGGCATTGAAAAGTGTAATTGCCAAACGGCACAAACGTTTGTCGGTGTACTTCTTCAGTATGCGCAGAAGCTGCCTGCTTAATCGACCAAAAGCGAATTCCTTTTAACGAGAATAATAATTCAAATTCAAAGTAGATAGTATGGTGTTGGTTGTTGCACTGCTGCGGCCTATCCACTGTATAGTCTGTACGCAGAGTAGTTACAGCAGTGCAAACGGAAAATTTACGTTTAGAGAAGGGTAAAAATGTAAAGTGACGATAGCAGAATTGTTCGACGAACTACAAAGGAATAAGTGCAGCGAAGTAAATTAAGAATAAGAAAATCAGCATAACAAAGCGCCAACATGATAAGAGCAATGGCAATAAAAATGCCAATTCGTATGTTGGTATTCCTCTTGTATGCAGGGCTTTCTCAGAACTACTTTGCGAACAAGTTTTTTGCAAACAGAATCATCGTAGTTATTTTGAAGTTCTTAACAAAATGCTTATAATTCTGATGCAGTACATCTGTTTTTGTCTGTTTTTGTCAAGAACTTTCAATAAGAAAAAACACGATAGCATCGATCAAAACTGTGCAAGAAAACAGAAAAAACGAAAAAAGACGAAAATGTAGACTGCTTCTGAACTGGACATACAATAGAGTTAAGTAAAATTAAGTACCCTGGATGTAAAATTAAAAAGTAGTTTGATATTATAGAGAATCTGGTAAATGTTTTAAACATACCATCTCAGCTGGAAAATTGAAATTGTATAAGCACTGCAAACAGTTTTTCAAAACGCTGTTCAATTTGTGAGCTTCTATTACATCAATCAAAGCACCTATCGTCGATCTGATAGATAAAAGTAATTTGCAAAATGATAGCAAACCTACTGTGAATAATACTTTTTGGGAAAAATTGATATTTAAATAGTACGATGCCTGCCAAGTTACAAGGAACACTGAGCAAATCGTAATTCTGGAGGACGTTACCAAGTTATAGTTTACACCAAAGAAACGTCAAAGTACACACAATACTAAACATTTGTTATATAGTAATTTACAAGGAAAAATCAATTATTCTGTTCTGACTCTGATCATGACTACAACAAGAATCGAAAAATGGAAAGTTCGTTCCCAGAATTTTCAGGGTTGACACTGCTTTTAGCAAAGTCTAAAAACCAGCTTGAGCAAAAAATATTATCATTTTTTGGAACGTTTGTCTTTTTAAAGTGATTATTGTGATATTTGGGAAAGACTGCCAGCTATAATATATTCTATTTTGAGGGATTACATAAAGAGCTAAAGCAATTAAACTATTATTTTGACAAATCTTTGGGCAGAAATGAGAGCAACTGTTTTAAAACTCAAGTGAAGATCAAATTTTTGATTTTAAAAGGTTAAAACTTGTTTGGGGGAGATGAATGATTCCCGTCTTTCAGACCATGAACTATCCCCCGTTTCAGGGTCATTGCACATACGCATTATCACAGTTCAACAGTTGTTTGGTAACTGACAAAACAGCTGTACAAATACTGCTATTAATGCGCATGTGACATGACCCAGAAACACTGATTGGTTAAGACGAAATTGTTTCGAAACAAAAGACTAAAGGTTTCGTCTCCCGAAAAAAAACAGAGTTAAGCTTTGATTTGATTCCAAATGTACACTAAAATGTATAAAAAGCTTGACATGCAAAGGGTAAAGGATATATAAATTTGATTCGGAATAAATTAACTTTCGTTCATATCTAGGGATAGTAACAACGACAAGGTTTAAAATTCCCTTACAATCATGAATACGCCAAGATGTTTCAAGTCAGAGTGTTGTTCTAGCTTCAAACGCAGGGAGGAAATCTAGTGAATAACAAACACTGGGCCGAGGAAAAAAAATAATTACCTTCGAATTGCAGGACTGAAACTGGCTGCTTGAGGTGAACCTAACAAATGACAGATACAAGCACTGGAAAGGAAAATTTGAATTGAATAAGAAGAATGACAACGGCTTTGATTTACACTTTGATTTACAATTTGTTTTGAAGAAACTAATCTAAGGATTAGAATTTAGTTTCTAACTTTTTGCTCACTCTAGTGCTAAAAGTTTGCTTTGATTTAATTCAAATTCTACTACATTTCTAGAAAAAAGCTAGTTAGTTACATAAATTATAAACAAATCAATTAAAGAACGCAACAACAACGATGACATTATTTTAAAGACAAATCGAAACAGAATTCTTAAGGAGGGCCTTTAACTCGTTAAAGGGTTCTTAAGATCGATGAGGAAAAGGTAAAGTGTTCATTAAAGTTTCTAAAAGGGTTCTTAAATAATATATGCAAACGAGCTATGTTTTAGAAACATATAAAATGTAACATTAGAGAGCACTGAGATGGAAAACTTCATGAGATACAACGAGGTCTTCTTTCTTTTTATCTAATATGTCAATTAAAAAGAAAAAGGTGCCTAATCGTCGAAAAGAATAATTGCCACCCTGTCTTTAAAGGATTATTTTTGAGCAGTTTCTTAAAATTATGATCAGTATTATGTTTTCTCGATTTTTTGGTCCTTTAAAGACATGGTTTCTTATAAACGGTTTCTTATAAAAAAGTTAGAGCACTTCAAATTTTTCATAAGGCTTAAACCAATGCTCAAGCAGTCGATAGTATTTCTATTGATACTAAACTGTGGAACAATTCAGATTGAATAATAATGAACAATAATTCAGGTTGAATCTACATGCTTTACAGAAAATATTTTACTAAAAAAGAAGAACATAAATAAACTATAGAAATTCATGACAGAAATCTGACATTTCATTGATTTAGAAATCAAACAACATACCTGGCACCAATCTGTATGTTTTCTGAAGACAAATGCTGCTTTGATACAGCAACAAAAAGCTAAAGATTCAAGAAAAAAGAGTTTCTTAATCGAAGTAAATCAATAACAGTTATTAATCCTAAATCAAGTTAGATCAATGGAGGAAAACAAAGACAATTTCACAAATGCAAAGAAGTGCAGGACTCCCGTGTGTGACTATTTTCCTGACCTGCTTTCTTAAGCTCAACGAAAAAAAGAAGCAAAACAGACCCTTTAACATATTCTAACATATTCAAAATGAACAAAATTAACATATTCTAAAATAAAAAATTAAGAAGCAAAGTGATTTTGAAACTGTCACTACTTGGAAGAAAAATAAGCAACATCTTTGCTACATGATGACACTGACTTTGTACCGAAATATTCTTTGACATAAGATACCAGCACCTTATATGTCATTTCACAACTAATAGTGACAATGTTAAAGGCAATCTGTCATGATGTTGATTGGTTATAATGACAAAGGGATTTTTATTGTTTCCATTCCCTCTTTAAGTTATTGCATTGTAAAAAATATGGCAGAGCGCTGGAAGCGTGTTTAGGCTATTGTTCCAGCTATTGTTCTCGTTAACCAATCCACAATGAGACAGATTGCCTTTAATGGTCATGGACAAAGATTAACACCCTTTATGATGGTTGATTGCGATTAGACAAAAATTTGATACCATGCATAATCTGCCTTATCAATGAGCAATGGATATTTAAATCTAAACACTGAATCTTTAAACATCTAAAACCCTGTTAAATTTGCAATCCGTATATAACTGTATATGCTGTATATAACAACAATGAACCTATAGTATGCTATGATTATGAATTAGCAGCATCTTCTTAATAATGATGATTAGTGGATTCAAATGCCAAAGTATCTGTCTCTTTACTTGCACTTAGTATTCTAATGTTCTAAATAGTAAAACCATAAACAAGAAACAAAAGCCATTTGAAATACAAATGTTAACAGGACAAAAACAACTATTTGAATTCGAGCTCAACATATCTAGCAATACTTAAAACATATACTAATTTTGAATCTGACACATCAATACCTTCAAAGCTTCTTCAGTGCAGTCAAAATTCCTTTGAGATATGAAATCATAGCCTACTCCTAAGGCTTTCAGGATGTAAGAGGATCTTTTTGTATGAAATCGCAAAGCAGCAAGAATTTGAGCCCCATTGGCAATACCAGCAACCTATAAAGGAATGAAAGTATCTATATACATTTATGTTTCAACAGAAAATCAGAAAGAAAACTTTAACTAATCAAGAATTTTATCTAGAAAAACTAGCTTTTTGTGTATGAAGAATGCTCGCTGTCAGAATTCTGACAGTAACATTTCTTCTCTGACACCATTTCTGTTAGCTAGTGACACAAATAGGAAAGGTCTCAAATTTGCAAACAGGGTAGGTTATTGCTATCTCAACTAAGCTACCCATACACTTGATAATCTATGAATCACATAATGGGTTTCCAATATCATTGGTCGCAAAATGGTCCACCAGGCCACCAAGCCTTGTGGCTTAGTAGTTTGGGGAATTAATAAAAGCATCATAGTGAATCAGTTTAGTAGGCTGGGAGAAAAACATATGGCCCACTATATATCAATGCCAGCCTGACCTTAAATTGACAGTTTTGTCTCATAAAAAATCTCTTCTATCAACATAGGAAGAAACAACTATAATGGTCCATTGTTAATTTGATTTTTGGGTGGCAAAGTTTTGGGACAGAAAATCAATAAATTGCCTTTATTCTCAAAGATACTTGTCTTCTTTTTTTTCTTACTTATCAAATAACAGCTTGAAAAGTATTGCAGGGGTAATTAAATGACAAGCTAAAACTAGATTAGAAAGTAATGCTTTGGAATTTTTAACACTAAAAAAAAGAATATGATACCTATGTCATTGATGTCAAGAATATACCAGGAGAAGTCCATATACTTATATACTTACAGATTTAGCAGGAAGATCTCCATGGAACTCCAGGTATGTCCCAAATAAACCAAGAAACTCCAGATTTTTGGCTAAGCTTTTTCTCAAAGCAGCAAGATCAGTCTCTTTCATACCAGAAAAACCTAATGTTTTGAAAAAGCATCAGATAAGATTATCAAACATAAATGCCTGTATATAATTACTCACAGAAATAGGTACAGTGAGTAAGCTATGAGATGTACTTCTAAACAGAACCCTCCTAGTAAGGTTATGTTACCAAATATTTTTTATAACATTCATCACACAAAATTAGGTCATTTGACTCAATAGCAAGGGAGAGAGACACTAGAGACAAGAAGGCAGGATCCAGGAGAAGGACATTTTAAAAATGATTGGGTATATTGAGTCTGCAAAATCTACAAATGTTGTAGGTATGCCTGTAATGACTGAAAATCAGCCTCATAGATTGTTACACAGCAATTAATGCAATTTTTTTCAAACATGATGATAAACTTGGGGTAAAACCACATGATCTTCGGAGGTTTACATTGCTAGGTATTTCAAACCTTGCTGGCCAAATTTTCCTATGTTGGTGTCAAGTTTAAAAATAGATTCCATTTTTCAAAAAAAACTTTAAAAGAAAACAAGTCTAATCACCAACAAACAGAATACTAGTAAACACAGCAGGATCAGGGCCTGAACCACTGGTCCTTGAGCTTGAGGGGCAAGCAATGTAAAGAAAGTTTCCTCTTACGTTCTCTGGTCCAAACTGTGGCAAACATTTTGCTGAATCAGTTTTACTTGTGGATTCTGGTTCAATGTATTTGTTGTAATCTACAGGCTCATCTATATGAATAATTTAAGCTGACTTTATTATTTGGTTTAGCAAAAAGGTGCCATGTTTTGCTGCGAGCCCTGAGGATATTATAATAGCATAAAAGGAATGGGAAGATTCAAGCCATGGTAACAGGAAAGTAAATAGTAATGAAATATCTTCCAATTACCTGAAAGATCCAAGTAGGTAAGTTCTTTCAAAGATCCAAATAAATTCATAAGCTGAGATTGGCTTACAGAATCTAAAAATTTTTGACCTCTTTCAGCTTCTATGACAGAGATGTCTCTTGAAATATCAAGATGGGTGAGGGACTTAAGCTCCGGAATAACTTGTAGTACTTCATTTGCAAATTTCATGTTAACATCATACATGAAGAGGTGTTCCAAAGTTCTGTTAAGAAATCAAAAATTTGATATAAGGATAAGTTCTTGGTGTTGTCAAAAAGGGAAGGTGTCTTTGGTACTGCAATATTTGAATATAGCATGGAAAAGTGGAAACATGATAGTTAGCTTGTTAATGCTAGTATTTTTGTGTACTTTTCCCCCTCATTCCCCACACAAGAATTCTGTTCCAAAGTTTTCTATTTAAAAAATTATGATTAAAAACAAAATAAAAATTTAGATGTAATGATAAGTACTTTGTGTAGTAAAAAAGTTGGAGGCCTTTGATACTGCAAATTTTTTACATAAAATGGAAAAGAAAAAACATGTCTGTTAGCTTGTTCTGCTGATGTTATCCAGTTGTTGTGTACTTTTTGACCCTCACTTCACAGACCATAAAATCTCACAATGAACAAAGGTAAGCAGATAATTTTTATCTAGCTGGGATTGAGAGATCTTAGTGAGGGGGAGGCAAGAGGGGGGGCAGATGCCCCCCAACCAATGGTAAAAATTTACACTCACTTTTTTATAAGAAACAGGTTATAAGAAACTAAGCTAAGAAAAAAACTAAGAAACAACCCTACCCAAATTGCAAAAATCTAAGAAACTTTTTTCATTTGCAGTTTTAATTTCTGAGTTGACACTCGAAACAGTCTTGACATTGAACGTCACTGTATATTGCAACACTACACTTGACATGCAGTTTGAATTCATTCTCAGTAAATTTCACACTCAAGAAGCTTCCATTTAAAAATTTGTTTTGACTTCAACTTGACACTGATGAAGTTCAATGAGCTTAACAGTTTACAGATCTCAATAGTCATTTTAGGAAAACAAAATTCTTTGATCACTTGTTAGCCAGGGTGCATTCCATATACTTAGGCCAGAAGATCTTCAGTGTACAACCAGATTTTTTTCGGCATTCAGCGTGCAAACCAATAAAAAAATTTTTGGCGTATTTAAAATTTTCATTAGTTGGCATGCTAAACATAAAGCCATGTACATAGTTAGCATAAAATAAAGACTCATACACCACATTTTTCTCTAATAATCAGTTTTCTTTGCCTGGCGCAAAAATGTTTACAGTTTTACTAACTCAACTGCTTTTATATTTTTGGTGTACATAAAAAAATGCCCTGATGGACCTTCAGGGTACAGTTGACATGGAATGCACCCTGGTTTGTTAGTTTATCTCTGAATGTGAGTGAACTATTCACTTTACCTTGGAGGCAAATTTACAAAATTCATTACCTAAGAAATTTACGTAACATGTTAGAAACTTTTGACAGCAAAATGGCCACTTTTACATCCATACTGAGCAGAATCGAATATTGGTATATTCGACCAGAAAATTTAAGGAACTGCCTGCCAGCACCGTACCTTCGTTTCATATAAAAAGTATGTGTCTTTGGAAAGAGGCATTTACTGGCATTTTTAAGGGCGTGGACCAGGCCTGGCTGTAAGACTTTTAAAAGGGGACCAGTAAACAGCTCTCCTAGTAGTATTCAGGTGAGCTATAAGAATAGAAACAAAGGAAAAATTGATTTCAAGGAGAGCAAGTTTGCTTTTTAGAACAATTTAGGAGAGCAATCTGTAGCTCCTCTCCAGCGTTTGAGGAGAGCCTGGAGGGGAGCAAGAGCTATGGCTCTCCTCAAATCGCCAGGCCTGGCGTGGACCCCAGTCTTCCCTCCCTCAAATGGTTTTATCCCCCCCCCAGTACTACCATTTTGCCTACCCTATTATTTGCTTTATAGCGAATAACATCATAGTGTTCTAAATTGCCTTGTCCAAAATTTTCTTGGCTAATTTACCCAATTTGCATTTAAATATTGTTAAACATTTTTAGGCTTGCAACCAATAACGAAAATTGTAAAAGTCAAATAAGATTAACAGAAAAAGACCTTTTCTTTCAGAAGACCACGTAATTACTTACCCTTTTAAACTCCGAAGAGGAACTATGCTGGTGACGTCACAACCCGATATGTTCAAATATGTCAATGTGTTTACGTTTGAAATTGAGTTCATACAGTGAAATGAAAGAAGAGTAAAACTTATATCCAGAACTCTGAGTTTTTCCAATTGTCCGAAGAATTTTGCACCGTCGGATGACCAACTGCCTTTGGTTCCTGACAAGTACAGAATCTCCAAACATCCCGAGAGTTTCTCAAATTTTGCGGCAGTGTTTTTGTTTAGGAAGCAGTTCGACAGGTCGATCTCCCTTACACGATGATTAAATAGCTCGCACAACAGATTCTGATATTTAATTGTTTTCTTTTTCTTGAGATCAAGTTTTGTTAGCTTGCAACGTGTGCTATCGCGGAAAACTGCCAGGTAATCCAGAGGTCTGGTTTCCAAAAGCGTCTCGAGCAGAGGCTCGCTAATGTCCTGCGGGAGATAAACATCATCTTTGAGACAGAGCTTGTTTTCTTCTAGGCCTTCTTGAATGTATGTTATCTCAGGGAAATCTGAACAGACCCGAAGAGCTAATGTTTTCAACGTATCGACCATTTTGTTGTTATTTTGAGAAGAGAAATCTCCTATGTTAATTCTGCCTCGAGATCAGCAGAATTCTGGGCAGTAATGAGGCTTTGGGAAAGTTAGGGTCCATGAGCCCAAATAACGAATTTTAGCGTCGGGGGGGGGGGGAGCGGGTGGGGCAAAATTAAAAGGGGGCTCTTGCACAAAACTTGGCGAAAAACAAAAGCAGAGGTAAAAATTTGCAAATTTTGCGGCATTAACAAAAGGAGTGGGGGAGGGGTCATTGTAAGAAAAATGTACACAAATTCAAGTGGTAGATTAGGACTTGTAATACCTTTAATGCATCAAGCACGGGGACACGAAAAGGCTATACAGTGGCTAGAAAAAGCTATCAACAAGCTAAATTTGAAAGTTGATGACCTCGCCAGAAAATCTGAAAAAGCAATGATTTTTAAATAACATGCATATTTTCTAAATAGAAACAATTTATTTTGGTAATTTTGTTTCATTTATCTGCAAAGACCTACTTGACAGTTAATGAAGGTAAAATTAGGCATTGGGGGACTCTCAAGTAGCCGTTTGACTGTTGACTGGAGGTGGTCGGTGTACGGAGGCTCCTTATAAGAGTTTTATAATAAATTCCGCGGGTACTTTCTCCATCGACCGCATATCTTGAGGTGACCGTTGCACAGAGGGGACCGTTATTAGAGGTTCAACTGTACTGGTCATTTTTTGTAAAGGGATATTATTCTACTGTTGAAAAAACAAACCCAAACAACGGTAGAATGAGAACCACCGATTCCAGAAAATAGTTTGACTTTACCGTTGTCATTGGCATAGGAGACCCGACAGAGATGTTACAAGTAACCCAATAAAGATGCAAAAACTATATAGCAGTAAAATTGGCTCGAAATAGCTAAAAAGCACAAGAAATATGCTCGGATCTGGACATCACAGAACTGACATTAGAGCATTTAACATCATTAAAAGTACATATCCAAATTTTGTGCAAGGCTACTACAATCATTGTTAACAGTACTTGAAACATCCAACAATTTGCGTTATGTTTTAATATTTTTCAACGCTTTTCCCTAATTCTCCTTTTTCTCTACTACTTCAGCACCTCCACCCCCAAGCAATGTTGAAAATTTGGAAAAATATCTTACAAGATGCTGGAAAAAGTGCACTCTCTAATCCCCTATATCAGTGACATCGCCTCGAAGTGGACTTGTCTACCCCAATTTTCCCAGAGTTCCATTTCCCAATTTCTCTCAATCCGTTGAAAACCCTTGGGGGGGGGGGGGAGGTGATCTTCATCGAGTTAGGAAATTTGACTGTGCAGCTGTGGTTGCTGATAAGGAGAATTGATGTTATTGAAGTATTTAGGTCCCTTACTTAATTTTAGTTTCATTCATTCTTTTATTGTTTTCATGTAACTTTTCCTTTGATGCATATAATTATCTTGTTGTACGTCGACCCCAGATTTTCAGGGATGGCGACGCCACTGCCCTATATCGTTTTGTAGTAAACCAACATTGTTCAAAAAGGAAACCCTGGGGGGGGGGGAGTGAGGTGATCTTCATCGAGTTAGGAAATTTGACTGTGCAGCTGTGGTTGCTGATAAGGAGAATTGATGTTATTGAAGTATTTAGGTCCCTTACTTAATTTTAGTTTCATTCATTCTTTTATTGTTTTCATGTAACTTTTCCTTTGATGCATATAATTATCTTGTTGTACGTCGACCCCAGATTTTCAGGGATGGCGACGCCACTGCCCTATATCGTTTTGTAGTAAACCAACATTGTTCAAAAAGGAAACCCTGGGGGGGGGGGAGTGAGGTGATCTTCATCGAGTTAGGAAATTTGACTGTGCAGCTGTGGTTGCTGATAAGGAGAATTGATGTTATTGAAGTATTTAGGTCCCTTACTTAATTTTAGTTTCATTCATTCTTTTATTGTTTTCATGTAACTTTTCCTTTGATGCATATAATTATCTTGTTGTACGTCGACCCCAGATTTTCAGGGATGGCGACGCCACTGCCCTATATCGTTTTGTAGTAAACCAACATTGTTCAAAAAGGAAACCCTGGGGGGGGGGGAGTGAGGTGATCTTCATCGAGTTAGGAAATTTGACTGTGCAGCTGTGGTTGCTGATAAGGAGAATTGATGTTATTGAAGTATTTAGGTCCCTTACTTAATTTTAGTTTCATTCATTCTTTTATTGTTTTCATGTAACTTTTCCTTTGATGCATATAATTATCTTGTTGTACGTCGACCCCAGATTTTCAGGGATGGCGACGCCACTGCCCTATATCGTTTTGTAGTAAACCAACATTGTTCAAAAAGGGAAGGGGAAATCAATAAATGCATTTCAATCTCTTGAAAACATCCATGTGAAGTAGTTTTGCGACAAAAATGGGTACCTTTATGTGCATTTCAATATTGGCAAAAACAAAGAAAGAAAAGGAAAAATCAGTGTTGATTTAAGGGGTGACACAAAAAGTTCTACCTAATTTTGTGTACTAGTGAAGAAGATAAACAGCCAAAATCAAAAGCTGAAGTGTTTTGAATTAAGGACTGACTATTTGCCATAATTCTTATGTAATAATTTTGTTCTGAACTTTTGTTTAAATGTGACCATCTTTTGTTACTCAACCAGTTTTACATGCTCCAAAAAATCATTCAAGATGGTCGATTTTTTGCAACACCACAAAATTGAAATCACAACACCACAAATCGGATTAACAGTTCCACAAAATGGCAACAAAACCACATTAGAATAACCCCTTGGGGGCCTTGCCCCTAAGCCCCTTGCACTACACCCATGGGGCCAAGGCTAACAAAAGTTGGCGTTCAAGGCTTCTTTCACCTTTTATTGCAGCTTTAAAATCATTTGCTTCGGAAAAAAATGGGAAGGCCGTGGCCAAAATAATGTGAATGAAATATTTGAACTTTAATTTGAGATTAAATTGTTTTCTCCACTTAATCAGACAAACCTTGCCTCCCGAAAAAGCTTTTAGATACAATATACAAAAACAGAAATATTTGAGTGAAAAATAAGAATCTTCTTTTTCTTTATTACTTGGTGGAGAAGTTACAGTGTGGAATAAAAAAGGTGTCTCAATATGTAAATTGATATATTTATTGGTGCAATACTCAATTTACAAAAGTGGTAAAAAAGTATCCGTTTTAAAAATTAACAAATTTAATGATGTGATACTTAGTATTTTTGGAAACAGATTTTTTCAGGATCTATTTCTTAAACCAATTTTCACCATATTATTTACCTAAAGCGATTAGACAAAAGTGACACACGGGAAGGACTCGTGGTTACATTGCTCCTTCTTTGGAACCTGTTAGTCCCCTCTGGAAAGCAAAAAGCAAACTCATTGCTATGATCCTGGAAAGAGGAAGACATTTTAGCCTTCCTATCGGAAGGTAGGGCTCCTCCATCCAGGAATTTCTGTTGCTGCCATTGCTCCTATGTAGCTATGTCTTTGTTATTAAAAGCTAAAACGTGATTTCAACTGCCAGAATGGAGTTCACATGTAGTGCAGTACGTCTGCCTGTGGAGACCTAATTTTGCTTATCAGAGCTGCTAACTTTCAAAATACCAATAATAATAATAATGCTAATAATTTCAGTTCTTTAATGACGGTAGTCCTTCAACAGAGTGTTTTCAAGGCACCGTCAAATACTAAAAATGCTCAACTTACCAGAATACTATAATAAAGTATGAATTACAAATGAAGGAAAATATATATAAAATCAAATGCCTATTACAATATAAAACCTATTGCAGTACTGATAAAATTAAAACCCTTTACAAAAGATATTTTATTAATGTAATGATTTATTGAAACAATTTTAGAAGATAAAAGCTGGACTGCTTGGCTGTTTCTATTCCAAGAACTTGCTTCCCTAAGCTGTTCCAAGAACTTGCTTCCCTGAAGGGAAAGCTTTTTTGGCAGTGTTTGTTCGTTTCCGGGGTGATTTAAATTCTCTTGTGAGTTTCTTAGGACCCTTGCGGCACTTCGGCGTCTTCTAGTAATTTTTTTTGGAAATATTCAGAGAGAAGGCCATTTGGGATTTGTAGTCTGTTTCTATCATTCCCTTGATAGTTTTTAAACCAAGAATTTCAAATAAAGGTTCACTATGAGCATCACAGCCGCTACCTTATTTTTTTCTCACTGCTCTGTTTTGAAACCTCTGCAATCTTTTGATTTCAGTGTTGCCACATCACCCCCAAACAGAACAGGAGTCGGTTTTATAGGCATTCATATGCGTGTTTATAGGCTTTTTAAAGCTTTTGGAGGAAAAATGTTCTTCATTCACTTTACATTCCTATTGCCCGCGTGACTTTCTTTGAAGTCTCGTTAATGTATTTCTTCAAATTTAGATTCTGGTCAATGTAAATGCCAAGATACTTGGTATCATTCACAACTTGGTTTATAACTGCGAATCTTTAAATCTAAATGGATGGGCAGAGACTTGTTTTTTTTATAGTTAGCAATTACCATGTACTGTGTCTGTTTCCCAACCGACCAGGGAACGAGGTTTTGAAAATCCTTGTTCACAGCCTCGATTAGATGAGCCAAGCTTTAAGTGTGCATTTAGAGACTTATCATCAATCTCTCATGGCAACATTAGCATTCATGGCAACAGAACTGTTTAAGAGAGCTCAAAGTATAGGACGAATTACTGTGCACTTTAGAAAGCGATGAATTAGGGTGTAAATAAGTGTCGATGTTAGATTCATATAGAGTCTGGTTACCATGATAAGGTCAGCTGATCATTTCAAATGATAAAGATTTGAATAGTGCTAATTATCCAAATTCACATTTAACTACAGTGATTCTTGGCTCTATATTAGTTGTCCGACAAGTAAATATCAAATACCAAAATACTTGGAAATTACATTAATTCTAGATTGGCAATGATATCAAGCCACCTTAAAGGCTTACCATGCTTGAAGGGTTTGTAAGCTATGTGTCCTCGTTTTTCTTTTAAAGTTTAGCCTTTAATGTATATTCACTTCGCTGAGACTAGAATTGAGGCTTGCGGAGTGATACGAGGCTGCATCACGATCTACTAGACGAAGAAGATCCTTTCGATCTCTCAGCAAGACCTGTTGAAAGCAAAAATGATTCATTTTAGTGTAGCAGCAGCAGTATAGTGTATTAGCTACCTAGCATATCAAGGTAGCTTCTGGAAACTGAAAAGCCGTGCTTCTTGAGCAGCGTACTGATCCTTCCTCTCGATATCCTAACTACTTCGCTATCAATGTTATGAGAACAAGCGAATTTTGTATTGTAAAATGGCCTAGACAGAAAACATATTTTCGGCCAAAAAACAAACAGCACGAGTGGATTAAGAACTTAATAACTGAGGTTTGAGCAGATCTTATCAAATATGGCCAATTGATATAACTATATTAAGAAAATTGTTAGAAAAAGGAAAAAGCAAAGCAATTATGAGAGAAATGGCAAAAAACATCACTGACTAAGAAGAAATAATTCAAACTTCGATTGATTCTTTCCTATAAAATAATACTTTTTAGGAAGTTTTATCAACAAAGGATTTTGTAAATCTCTCACCGTAAACAATTTCAATAAGGTGCAGTTTGTATTTATGAAGTAATCTAACACTCGTGTAGCAATTTATTGCAAGGTTGACAGTGGCGTACCTAAGGGGGAGAATGGGGGGGGGGGGGTCCGGACCCCCCCACTTTTCTAAAATATGGCCCTCGAGATTTGTCCAAAAACGATGTAAAACTCATTGGGGGGGGTAGTATACTGTATGCTTGTGTCAATAACAATTGTAAAATGCTTTGCTATTTGCCATAGCTAACATGAATCAAATAATGGGGGGGGAAATTTCGCAAAAAGGGCCTTTCCCCGCATTTGCGAGTGTTTGTAGGGCGTGGTCCAAAAAAATTCTGGGGGCTGCGCCCCAGACCCCCCCACTGCTACAGCCCTGGGTACGCCACTGAAGGTTGAAACATTCAACGGAAAATACGTTTATTAAGTATTACAGCTTTTGATATCAGAAGATTCCTAGTAATTAGATAAATGTAGGTTTCATGTAAAAGCAGTCCCATCCTAAAAACTAGAATATTTTGTCGATATGTGAACTCATCAAACAGAGCAAGCCTTCATAAACCCACGTAGGAAATCTCTCATACAACCAATGTTCCTTTGATGGAAAAGACCTTTTTGTAAACTTACCTGTTGAAAGTATAAACTGGGGAAGGATATGTTTGAACAGCATTCGTCCGTAGTGTCCATATAAGACGTATTTTCACTGATTTCAGAAAGTCTTCTGCAAAATCTTGTTCTGTCTTCATTTGGGTCTGAATCTTTCCACCAATGTGGCTATGGACAAACAATATTAATTTTAAACATTTTCCCCTGTCGATAGCTACTGCTATGCTAAAAATTTATAAAATGAAATTAATTGTTTGTTGAAATAAGAAAAATTAACTTAACCCAAATGGAGTAACACTTCCAAGAATAAAATATTTTTTATTAAAGCAAACGGTACTTCCATTTAACTAAGACAAAAATCCCATAACTCAGCAGTAATAAGCATTTTGACATTTTGCTCTTAATCATAACATTCCTGGGATTACCATGATAGTCCTTCCAAGATTTTGTTGCTGCTGTAAGGAATTTAACTGTTCCACAAAACTAACTTTTACTATTGCCAGTTACTTTTGTTTAGATGCAAAAAACATTATAAATGGTTTTGAAAAAAGCAAACATTTGAGTATATATACCTAAGCTTTTCGCCTGAAACTCTTCAGAGTATAGAACGTTGTCAGACGAAAAGCTTTAGTATACTCGAATGTTTATATTCAAAGCAATTTTTAAGTCTTGTACCACCAAAATTGTTTAAAAAACATTATATTGTACTCTGAATCCTTTCTTCGAAATTGGCCATATTGTGTTTCTATGAACCGATTAATTATTAATAGAAACTATGGGCCAATGTTCTGCTTTAAACTTGTGTCCCACTAAGATGGTCTTAAATGGGCAGTGAAATAAAATGTGGATGACGATAGCTTTAAGAGACATCTCAAGTGACAAATGTTTTTGAGAATGCAGCAACGTGAATTGTCAATCTTTTTCGCGTTAATTACAGCAAGAATCGAGGGGCAAATCACTCTAAGAAAATATCGTACACCGTTTGTGAAAATCTTGTTGTTTTATCTGAAAATCCCCAGAAATCCTTTTGATTCAGGCAAATTTCGTACGCTATTTGCAAGAGTGAATCGCCCCTCGGCAAAAATAATTGAAGAACGATGAAAATTGGCAGGTGCCTTCGAAAGAGGGTCAGTTTGAAGGACAAGTTATACTCAATTCCAGAGCAAAAAATTTGTTCATTTTGGACTAATTTTTCGAGAAAAATAATGGATAAAAATATCGTCGAGAATGATGAAAGACAGCCTGAAAGTAGACACAATTGAGTCTTAAGAATCACAGTTTCTTTGTCTGTAAAATGCTGGCCATTCCCGATCAATTTCTTTTTTAAACAATAGAGAGCAATAATGGGGCGAATGCTTGCAATATTAAGAATGCAAACATTACTTACCAAGTTGAATTTAAAATGCCTAAGAGCTAAAGGATTATCAGGCATTCCACTTCTTTGCAATCTAACCAGAAGAAAGATATATCAAAGATTTATACAGATATTTCTATTATAACAAAACATATCAAAGTTGCTGGTCAATCATTTGATTTTGCAGTTAAAACAGATTAGCTGTGAAAATTCACACATCGCTCTGAAGATTCGCAACTGTGAATTGAAATACAAGACTTGTACAAAATAAGTCATTAAAGTAGGAAAAAACAAAGATAGCGAAAGACAAAATTCAATAATCTCAACTCGACAATATCAGACGCAGTATATCTCTTGTTATTTTCAATTATAACGATTGATCATGAAGCTGCAAATTCCAAACTTTTACTTTACAGCAATGTAGTTAAAAAGTGCTTTTAACAAAGTTTGTCAAGGTAAAGTGCTTACTCAAGCAAAAAAATGAATAAGAAGTTAAGCAATCAAATCAGATTCTTCAACTGTTTTAATGACTTGTTATTTTTCTACCATTGTATTTTATAATTGAAGACCTTAAAACATTCTAAATATACATATAATGACAAACCTTGCATTTTCAAAAGTAGGCCACGCACTGAACTTCAGTTCACATTCCATTAGATTCAGTAGACACATCTTTAAAATCACCATCGCAATATCCTATTTAAACATCAAGAAAGAAAAATGACACATTTATCTAATCTATTCAAAAAGTTTTGGCAGGATAGGACTTAAGTAGGATAAACTTTCATCTCAAAGAAGTCAATTCATATATATTGCTCGACAAGGACCGAGATACCGGGAGGGGCGGGGGGTTGCTTGGCAAAGCAAAAACACTTTATAAGTATAAGTACACTTATTAACACTTTTTTTTCAGGGTTGGCCCCCAACTTTGTTGTTCAAAAAAGGGTTGTATTTCGGTCTCTGTTGCTCGAAAAAGGACAAAAAGTAGAAAAAGAGGTAGAAAAGGAAGAATAAGATACAGGAAAAGATTGAAGAAAAAAAACAAACAATTGGGAAGATGAACAAAAAAAGGAGAAGTAGAGAAAAAAGTAAGAGAAAATGTTAAATAACTGGCTCAGCGAAAAGGGCCGCGGACTGCAGATCTAATGAACTGGGGTTCGAGTCAATGGCATGACGAAATTTTCACTTAGAGTGAGAAGAGTCGCAAACTCTATGTCATTCCAGGTGTAAGAATGACGAGGTGCTGTCACATTAAGAGGAAGGACCAGGATAATGCTCGACTAAGCCCAGCTTTTCGATGTCCTTAGCTGGGGTTTAAGCAGTAGAAGAAGAAAAGAAACGAAGATGAAAAATTAAGAAGAGAACAGATAGTAGGAGATGATGAATGAAATAAAAATGTTTTGATAAAAACATGAAAAGAAAGAGAATGAACCAAAATCAGATTCCTTTTCTCTTTGCGTTGGACAAAATATTAATCTTTGGAATGGCAATCAATCATGGTGCTTAGATAGACACGTGAATGATTCTTCAAGTACAAGTTACATGCATACAGTTAAGATACAAATATAAGTCAGTTTCTATGCTAGCAGAAAACCCTTATACCCTTGCCTAGCATGTGCAAGCATATAGTTTTATTGTAGAATGTTGTATTACCTGACCAGGACATTTGCGATTGCTTGACTTTGGTTCATCAGTATGTCTCCCACCAAATGATAGAAGACTGTCTTTCAAGCACTAAACGTTATGAAGAATCTTTGATACAAAATGCAAGCAAATCAATTGTGTTAAAAAAGGTGAGAGGGGAGGTTGTCTAGGTAATGATGCTGATATATGAAACAGATATGAAGTGCTGAATAAGGGATACAAGCCCAGGCCTTGAAAAAATTTTTTTCTTCCTGGCAGCAAAATAAAAAATTCAAGATTTCCTGCGAAGCTTCGAGAAAGTTTCCAGCAACTGAAATTGATATTTCAAGTTGCTTGATTTGTTTAAAAATTTGTCCTAGAAACAAGCTGTCACACTAAAAAGAACTATTCGAAACAGGAATCATTTTGTTTATACTGTATTAGGAGAACATGATCAAGCACGATACTCATAGTTTTTTCAAGGTTAAAGAAAGTAGATCTGAAAATCTATAATAACTTTGAACAAATTTCATATCAGTACTATCAGAACTAGATACTTTATAAGTATTGATATATCTATACATCTTGCTCTGGGTGGGTTTATCATCAAAACTAGTAGTTCATACAACATGTAAGAATACTATTTTATTTTTTAATGGTTAAAATAAATTTTTTAAATCAGGGGTGGTGCTAGAGGCACATCCACACAGGTTTTGGGGCATGTTCACCTTCAAAACAATTGACGTAACAAGATTGGCTGTCTTCAAGTGTTTTTACATAGATAGAATGGCTAGTGTAAAAAAAGGAATGAACTTTGTTTTAGCTTGCTGGAACTAAATTGATAGCTGAAAATCATGCACGGAAATTTGGCATAACAGATGCTTATAATACCAGATGATTGAAAGCTAATCTTCGTTTTTTGTTGGTAGTGCAGAACAAAAATTATACAGTATGTATATCACAAGAAAACAGTATTCCGTAGAAATATTGTAACATTAAATCAAGCAATGGAGATTTCACGTTAAAAATTTCCTGGCAAACAACAACAATTTCCTGCAGTTAATTTGTTCCAAAAATCTTGGCAGCGCCGCTTTTTCCTGCCCTGTACAAGCCCCTGGTTTTGATCAAGATTGGACCATGTAACTGGAAAAAGTTAAAATGAATTTGGCGGTGTGATAGTGCTAGAGCTCTACTTAGAGCAAAGATGATGCTAGGAGGAGGGCTTAGGCCTAAGTGGGCTATAGCCCTCTCTAAGAGCCCTGTTTGGTAACGTTATTCGAATTATTCCTTAATTAAAATGACCTCCTTAAAATTTTTAAAATCCCTTGAAATTTCTTGGAACCCTTTCATTTCTAATTCCCTCTCTATTACGCTAACATAAAAAAACATTTGAAAAAGATCTTCAGTCAAATTGGCTTACATCATTTGTAAATCGTGATGGTTCAAACTGACATGGATCCGTGAATATTTCTGGATCTCGATGGGCGCCGAAAATGTTTCCAACTACGCAATCCCCTTCATTCATCGTGAAGTTGCCGGAGGAAGAAAACAGAACATACGTTGACCTATAAATTTGAATAACAAAGATTACAGATTAAGAAGAAAGATCTACTCTTGATAAAATGTTTAAACAACGTAACAAGCGAATATTTTCAAAGAAGTGATTCATTGTGGGTCTTATTTTCAAGTTTTTCTTTGAAATCTTTGTATATTTTTAATTAAGCATATTTCAAATCCAGGTTTCAAAGTTTAGATATTGATTTCGGAACGAATCTAGAATTTCGTCGCGTTAACCATGAAGCAACGCCATTTCATTTAAGTCAGTTTTTATCGATCCGGAGGCGCGCGGCTGATACCACTCTTACCAGAAGGCATTGCGGTAACCGCGAACAGAGGGATAGGTGGATTCAATAGGCGCTTGTCTATGCCTTCAGCCTACGTTGAATATGGCTGAGCCCAACATTGTTGTCCTGTAAATCGAGCCTGGGTGAACCCAAGTTGACATTAACTTATGCAAGACATTCATCGTATGCAAGAGCACATTTCATTGCAGAACATTTACAATTTTGGCTTCTGCATTCATACAAAACCTTTGATTTTCAAGGATTAAACAAAACAAAAAATAGCACGATAGTAAATTCTGTTCACAATAACTTAATAATAGTAAATTCTGTTCACAAGATATTGCTTTACGTGATAAACAAGTATGGACGCTTATTTGCTCAATAACAATTTTGCATGGACGTTTGGTCTTTTATTTGAGAAAAACAACTTTGTTATTAAAAAATGATTGAAATACCGATCATGTAAACAAGATTTTGGAGAAACGATCATTTTAAGTTGAAAACTTTCATTAATTAAATGTTTAATCTTTATGAATATTCACCTTTCGCATTGCAAAACCTTTAGACTCCATGTAAATTTAAAACCAGAAGCATTAATGACTACAAGCAATCTTTTCCTTAGAATATTTCAGTAATTCGATAATTACATGTTTTTCACGAGGTTTTGACAAATATATACCTGTATTCTTTTAATTCTAAGAGGAAACATGAATAAAACTCGGCCCCATAAGTACCTCACAACACCAAAAATTAGTGGAGCAGGTGGGTTAAGCCGTAGTACCTGAAATGAGAAAATCTCGAATTTTAGTATCATTCACTTTGAGATGAATGTCTTCTGTTTGAAAAATTAAACAGTGCTGTAAATTATATAATGTTAAGTATGTTAATTATGAAAAATCATCCAGGTAGATTAACGAATGCATCACGAGTTTCTTGAATATTTTAATGGCCTATTTACATTAGCCTAGCAAGGAGGACGAAGATTCCGGTTATGAGCCAAGAGCTTTGGGCGAACGTAAGCTGGTAAAGGCTAGTTGAAAATTCATTCATCCTTTAATTATATTGATAAAATCAGATCAAAGCATACAGTAGAACACGCAATTAAAAGAAGAAGCAAAATTGCACAGAAAAATAACGAGACAGGACAACAGATAGTTTAAAGTCCAATCAAACTCCAACGTCATTTTAAAGTCGATATAACGAATTCTTTAAGAGGGTTTCACTGTAACACATCTGTACCCAACTCATACTAAAATCTTCAGCAATCTTACAATTTTCTATCGACATTTGGCTCTAAGATGAAAAGAAATGCTAGAAAGAATGCAAATTAAAACTGACAAATCTGCATCATTGTGACAATACGCACTAGCTAAATTTTATACAAACCACGACCAAGTTTTCGCAGCATAAACTGCCTAATCTTTAGCAGTGACAAACAGTCTAGTACAGAATCAAACGAGCATCTGCCATCGAGAAATACGTCATATATCCTGTAATAAGTTACCTCCAAAATGAAGTTCTCTAGATGAAACAGCTTAGCAATAGCCTTCAGATCAATACCAGACTGCATATGCTGCTCTCCTTCAACCTTGATTTGTTCCTTCATGGCGCCTGTAATCGTTACCAGACGTGCAATCGCTGATATCAAAGCGTGAGACGTCAAAGGTATGGCGTTAAAGCTGCAGAAAAAATTATTCATTGGATGTACATATGTATATATTTCATAAACAGATAGGCTAATCCACGGAAAACTCTCAGAAAATTGATTTCAAAGTTCTTACAATCAGTCACAAAATAAAAGGACCAAATGTTTTCTATTTTTATGCATTTGGAAGCCTGAAAAGGTACAACGACATGTTTCCTAAATTCACTTGACAAGAGTATGAATTAAGTTTTTATGTAATATCGAAGCAAGTTAATAAAGCTAGTTTCGCTGTTTCCTTTTGCCTCCAACCATCCTTAGATATCTTACCAGGTTGGCCACCAAAAACTGGTATTTTAGAAAAGACAAATAACTGTAAACTTGATAGCCTGCGAATAAACTTTACAAATAGGAGAAACCTTTTTGCTAAGTATGCATACAGGTTATAAACCCGAAGGATACTGTAGATATCGTGTTAGCATTCCAGGACGACTTTCATTTCAAACATTACTCAATGCATAAACTGACTGCAGCTTCATAGTAGTGCAGTAAAACTGACTGCGAATCACAAAAACAAAAATAACAACAAAGATCAAATTAAAAACTCACAGTAATGCAAATATTACTTCATTGATCATATCATTCTCCTTAATTTTAAACTTTGATGCGATGAGCAGCATTTCTTCATATCTTGGACAATCTTCGATTATTCTGTATATGGCCTGGTACGCTTCTTTGCAGCGTTTGGAACTTCTGTTAAAAGAATGAGAAACAAACTTTTGGGTATTGGAATATTATCATAAGCAAGGACACTGAGCTCTGGAATCCCCTTTTAGGGCAAAAGTTTTTATAATTTTCATCAATATTTACCAACATAGACAGAAATTCGACTGCAAACTACATATTTAACTCTGGAGCATTTTTACTATTTTTTCAATGAAATACTTTGTACAAAAACTGCTCCTTTTTTCAAACGATTGTAGCTTTGTAACACCTTAAGTAAACGATTTCAAAACACTTCACGATTTCACAGAATTCAAAATTAAGCTTCTCTTTACAAAGGTTTTCTAGATTGTATTGAAATTATTTGAATTGCTAGGGTGTATCAAAGCCACTAAGGGAAAACCAAGGTTTTAGACATCTTTAAACAAAGAATAGTTTAGACATCTTTAATTCAATATAAAAATCTTTTTTCTGCATTAATAAAAACAGGGGGCCTATAGCTCCTCCCTCCAAAGTCAAAATTCAGAAGACAGCAAGGACAATACTTTTTTCTAAGTGCTATCTTAAGAAATTATACTCAAGCTTTTTGACATAACTCTGATTACAAATGAAGCCCCATATGCAGGACAAAATGATAGTTAACTTTAAAATTATTTCAAAATTTGATTCTCGAATCTGTTATTTTATATTGTATTGCATCTTGTCGTTTTGCGTCATTCCTGCCGATCGTTTTCTCTTATCACATTATCATCTCAACAGAATCCGGTAGACGGCCTATCCAGTTTCTCTTGCATATTTTTCCAGTTCACTTGAAATTACATTGTAATATGCATATCCAAGAAATCTGTACCTTTGAGGCTTAAATATTTCTTTATTCCACAATTTAACGAATTCGTATTTAAGTTCAATTCCAAGAAAAGACCTTGAGTAGATTGTAGCAACCAACTTTGTTACTTTTTCCTCAAACAAATCGCCAATTGGGCCTAAAATCAACAAAATTTGAGGTTAAAAAATGGCAATCGCCATTATCAATTCAGTATCACTGAAGATATGACTGAAAGCCAATTTATTTGAAGGGCTGGTATTTGTCGATAGAGCTCATTTGATAGCAATGATTTGTCAAATTAAATGTGCCATTCCCAAATCTCAATTTATCTTGATTCGCAAATTTTTATGATATTTCATTCACTTTGCGCCTATTATTGCTTAGGAAATTTATGAAATTTATGAAATTCTTTAAGACAATAATAGGAAAAAGGAAGAGTATTCAAGATTTATTCGGTGGGAAAGTTAGGCAAAAAAGAGATATTTAAGGAAATATATGAAAAAAAGTAATAATAAACATTACAATGATAATAAACAAACGATTGAGGACGGCAAACAATCTTACGAGAGATTTCTGAAGACCGTGGTAGAAAGAGAAAAGAAGGAAGAATAGGACTGTGGTTTATCTAGCGGCAAAAGAGAGTTGTTGTTCAATACAAAGATTGAAGCTCAACACAGGCTGAAAGGGTGGCTGAAAGCGGTATCTAGAGGAATATGCAAAGGAGCGCAATTCATGGTTAATTTCTGCAAATCAAATTTTTCTTAAAATTCCCATTTTGGAGATGCTTTATTTTAGAAATTCTGATATTAGTTAAACAAAATGTATATGATTTACCTTCCATTTCCCAACTCTCCAGCACGAATGGAACCATCTCGACAAGTGTAGGCAACAGATAGTATTTTGCTACTACACTTACAAAGCCAATTATGAATGCCTTGCTTTTAGAATGCATGAAGTCATTTGTAAATATACACGGTACGTGTTTACCGATGAGGTCCAAATTCACTTCCTTGTGTCCCATAATAGGTTCTTTGTATACCTGAAACAGAATTGTAGAACAATTAGTGACCGGATCGGAGTTGGCGAGGAAATATGAAAACTGGTTGTAACAATGGCTCAGCTAATCGCTTTTAGAAGTAGTATAGACTCACCGGCAGGTTGACAAGCTGGATCTGGTGAATGCAATACCAAAGCTTTTTACTTAAGAGACAGTGACATGGTGTGCAGGCAGAGTTGCAAAAAATTGTTGACCTTCCTCTAAACCTGCAATCTATGGTCTCGACCTTCCTTATCTTAACACAATGTAAAGTAAATGAATCCCTGAGTCTATTCTCTCCTTTTTAAAAAACAAATCACATCTTTCTAAAGAGCAAGAGCTTCATCCCCAGTCAAAGTATTTTAGAACATCATAAAGTTACAGCCTCTTAGATAATAGAAAATCACTATCACTACTAGTTTAATAAAGCCAATTCTGAGGAAAGAAAATAATGTTCTACCTGCGATTAAACTCTACGCTTAAATTTGCTCGTAATAACACTCTACGATTAAATACGTTCGCAATGACAGAGCAATAGGATTATTTCAAATATTGTTGTCGATATGAACGTTCCAAAATATCGATTTTTAACTTAACTCTCTGTGAGATAAATGACTTACTTGTGATGCATTGCAGCTGCTTTCACAAATAGCTTCAGCCTCGCATACAATCGTGGATGGTCGTCCAAATGGATACCTGAACACTCTACTGTGATACTGCTCCACCATACCATTGAGCATTGCAAGCCCTTGCTACGATTAAACACACGATAGAATCAGTCATAAGTCTGTCAACAACGAAAAGAAAACCAAAGCAAGCTTATATGAAACCCTTACACATTATAGGTAGCATAACATGGCGAATCAAAACATAGTGGCGACAAATGCCACTGTAGTAACGCCAAACAACACTTGTTGGACACACAGAAAAAACGCAAAAAGGCATGTAAACTGGCCTGTTCTTATAGATTTTAGCATATTATGAAGTTAAACAAAGGAGCAGAAGTTATATAGGCTATCTTATGCGGCCTACTGCCATGTTTAGAAGAAAAACAAGTAGACCTATAGTTTTTTAGATATAACAATTCAACAGTTGAATAGTTTTGAGAAAGTGTGAATTTAGTATATTTTGCTTTTCTGAGCCATACCAAAACTCTGGCATATAAAGATGAAAGGGTTCATGAGGAGGAGAGGGGCTTAGGCTCAAATCTATCCAACAGGAATACACAGAAAACATTATTTTGTTGTTGGGTTGGGATTAACAAATACTGCAAGGGCCTTATCACACGAGAAGACTCAGCCCGCTTTACCGGGAAATAATAGAATTGCGCTCATTTCCAACAGCATATTGATCCACCATTGCTCTGTGCGACTAGGATGAAACCAAATAGTTCTTTTCTTCCTCTCCATTTTTCGTTGGTTCAAGGGTTTTTCTCGTTTCAAAAGGGCCTTCTTTTTGACAGAAAAATTCACGCTAAATGCTGCCTGATATTTGACCTGTTGTAGCCTCCATAAAAGCAATAGACTATGAATGTCATGGCATACTGCTTGTAGAGATTATAAAGATGAAGCTAAAAGAGCCGCAGATGTGTTCTCTTTGTTCTCAGCCATTTTTGAAATCTTGGCGGGCAACGTAAAGAACGTAACCAGGCAAATGTCACGTGACTTTCTTCAGCCCGTCAAACCAGGCTGGGAAAACCTCATATGATAGCGAGCTGATTCTAGCCAGGTTAACCGAGCCAGCCCGGTCAGCCGGGCTCATATGATAAGGCCCTAAGGAGTATTGGAGTGAAGCGGAAACAGCTGGATCCCCTAATAATGTCTTTCGCTGTATGTACTGCTACGTTTCTCATTTATCTGTTATTTGTTATTGTCTTATATGGCTTGAAACATTGAATTTCGGAAGGCCGCAAGGATGCACACGTCAGTATTGCGGCAACTGACATCAGGCTCTTGTGCCTTTTAAAACGAATCCTGTTGAAAATTCAGGAATACAGCAGCTAAATTATTATGAATTCTCTTAAACTGACCTTTTTCAGTGAAAAATTACCAAAAAGACTCATCCTGCAGTTGCCTGGCATCTGTTTTAACTTCACGTTGTCATATTTTGGTGTCTCTAATTTGAACGACGTAACCATTTTTGAAACTCTTCGACCAATGCTTGCAAAGAGACCTTTATTGTCAGTGCTCTCGTTTGACAGACTCTTATCGTCATTTTTAGGAACATTCAAAAATGATTTAGACTCCGCCATATATCTTAGTTAAAATATCACGATTTCGTTATCTGACTAAAGTGTCTTTGACGCGATGACTCTCAAACCAGTTTGTAGTAGGGCACATTAGCTTATGTAACTTCAAAAGGATTTACACGTCATATTCCTTTTGGGACTCTTTCAAGCAAAGACGAGTTTCAGAAAATTAGCGTCTCGGGGAACTAAAATCAAACAATTATTTATTATCTCCACGGATACAGCCCAGCCATCATAATAGAATGGTCATTACACGCTAAATTTGTTTGTAGATCCTTTTTATAAATCACAAGGAATCTGCAGGGGTTATTCTAAGCAAAATTTACAAAACCACAAAACTTTTGGTCAAATTTTTTAAGTCTACACTTGAGAAAAAAACCAAAAACAAAGGTAGTAATAAAACTCAAAAAGTAAGTTCTTATCTTGACTTTAAAGTTGGAGTTGACGTTGTACACAGCAAATGTAGCTGCAAAGCCGCATGTGGCGCGGTAGAAGGCCAATCAGTGCATGCAATCTTTTGAAAACATCTATGCGAAGTAGAACCATCATTGCTACCCAAAATCTGTATCTATATATGCATTCAAATTTGCCGGTGATCGAAATGTAGGACCCACTCTCTGAAAATCTCGTACACCTTTGGTGGAAACCCCATGTTTTATCTTATAATTCCTGGAAATCCTTTTATTTTGGTAAAAATCTCGTACCCTTCTGCAAGCGAGAATTACACCTCGATTACCGGGGGGTTTTCCTTGAAAAAAATTACGGGGATGTGTCTTTGTCATTAAATTTTTTACCCTGCCCTTGAAAAATTCTTAAAACATGAAACCTGTCCAGGGAATAAGAGCTTTCATTTCAAATTTGAGCTTTAAGAGAAAAATGCTAAAGAGTGGACAAAATTTTCATTTTCATGACAAATATATTTGATTATATGTTTATATTTTAACTTGGTGCTGGAATTTGAATTACTTATAGCTTTACCAAAAGATTCCTATATTTTGCGAAAAATTGATTCAGAGGGTCGCCTTTTTCATGACACCACAAAATTTAAATCACAACGCCACAAATCAAATATACAACACCACAAAACGGTAACAAAACCACGTTAGAACAACCCCTGCTATTCAATCTCTGATCCTGATAGTTAAAAAACTTTTTGAAATTGGATGCAGACACCATTGCTTTGTGAAATAAATTTCCATAATTTTGAAGAATTTTTTAATTAGAGAAAGACATTTCCCAATTTTAAGTAAGTATGGCAGAGGAAAAGTAGATATTTATACATAATGTAGATATTTTGATTTCAAAAAATTTTCGTCCGAGATTGGCATGAATCAAACAGGTCCCTGAGGGAAAATGAGGTTCTCATGCGGGTCTTGAAGTGGGAACACCTTGGCAATAGAGAAGCAACTAGGCGGGTAGAAAGGCATCTTGGGGATACAGAACCCGTTTACACTGTGCCGGATAAATTCTATCCGCATAAAACATGTTCTGATCGAGTTGCGTTTACACTTTGCATCACAGATTTTGTTCACTTTGCCTTCCCGTTGACCCGTTTACACTGTGCCGGATAACTGCAGTCACGTGACAGAACGCCATTTTCAATTTTTGTACCACCAAAAGATTGTTTTCATAATTATTTGTTGTCTCCTTTTTGTCAATTTTTGTTTCTTGAATCAAAAGCTTTATGCTTTAATATCAATGCTACAAATTTCAAACTAAGCCTCAAATGAACAAACAGCTCATATAATTAATCACACAGTCTTGAAACTTCTACTTGAAATTTGTTTATTTTGTTTATTATACTTGAATGCATCTTCCGAATTGAAATGATCCATTTTTCTTAGACTACGCTACCAAATGAAGCTGAGGGGGAAGGTCAAGATGCTAAGGTTCTTCATAAGTAAGGTGACCACAAAAATGGCTGCCGCCAAGCAACGTTTTACATCCGGAAACTACATCAAACAAATTTTGTATGTCCTTTGCCCAAAAATCTCAATATTACATATATTTCATACTTTCATTTCTAATGCTAAACTCCCCTTTCTAAAAGTTTTGCAATATTTCCCAAAATGGTACCCATAATCCTGCATATTTCTTCAAATGGTACTGATAATTCAATTATAATTCACATATTTCAAACCTTATACCCATAATTTCACACTTTTCAGAAATAGGTTCCCCTCAATGCTGGCACGTCTCCGTACCTCAAACCTATTAGGCCAGACCTTAAAGAAAAGTATTCTTCCAAAAACAAGAAGAATAAGAATATCTACATTTTGAACATGTTTAAAAATCTGAGATGAAAAAATTAAGTCATCGTAGTCTTGAGCCCTTTCGGAAGTGAAGGAAGAAGGTAATAATATGTTGGGTGGAAAAACGCAAAAAAGCGAGAAAACAGCAACAGCCCAAATAGCGCTTGAAAATATTGTAGAAGAAGTAAAAGAAAGCGGCTATTTTGCTCTCATAATTGTTGAAACATCGGCCTTTCGTCAGCACCAACAAATGTCAGTTTGTGTCAGTTTTGCACTGAATGGTCCGAAGGGAAGTTTTTGCTAAATTTTACAAAACTCAGTCTTCAGCAATTGTACAAATTGGGCTTAAAAGCGTATGTAGATATCTGTTGTCAAATGCTTTCACAGTCTAAAATGAGCGGCAAAGCCAAGTGCTTGTCAAAGCGAATGGAGGACTGTTCTCTGCTGAGTATTTATGTCCATTGCCAATGACATTAGTTTAATCTTGCAGAAAGTGAGTCAATTAGAAATGGGCTTGATGTTGTTCAAGGTCTCTACAATTTTCATTGAGGCCAGCGCCAAAAGGCATGAAATTTCAAGAGAAAAGTGGAACATGAACTGTCATATAAGTAACAAGGACAAAGCGCAACGCACTGGGCTTGCCAGAGGGAGCCAGTGAAGGCAGTGGACAGGACACTTATTTTCTTTGCAAGGCTAAAGACCCCAAAACCTATCTAGAAAGCAAAAATCTGTTCAATTGATTCTACAATGTAATGGATAAAGCTTTGGAAGAAATCTATGCTCGATTTAGTGATCGAGACTCAACAAGTTTTTGGCGTAACAGAGGCATCTAGTGCCCTAAGCAAAAAACTGCTACGGGACATTTATTCACGGACAGCAAGAAGATCCCTTTCAATTGTGTGAGCATGTCAAACATAATAGAAAAGGATGAAAATGAGAGTTATTTTCTCGTTAGCTAGGTGGAACTGAGTTTTAGAGACTTTCAAAAGTTAAAGAGCTTTCAAAGCTTTAAAGATATGGATGTAAAAGCACCTTGGGCCCCCTTCTGTTGGGGGCCCTTGGTTATCAAACTAAGGCAACGTTTTAAACCTCTGTGTTACCACACACAGGATTGCCTTCAGGTTTTGCCTAGTGTGTCGGGGAAAATCTCCAATTTTACTTAATTAGTCTAAAAAATTTAAAAAAAAATTTATCCGCAAACAATGTGCCCTAGAAAAAAAGGCTGAAAAACGCCGAATCAATGTGCCCTAAACTGTGTTACGCTGTGATGTGGGAATGCAAGCGTGAATGCTTAGAATTCGACAGAAATCGTCATAAAGCTCCTTCTATCAAATAGATTATGAGTTTCTAAACTCCAAGAAATGAAACACAAACTGTTCAATAATCACAAGAATAGGCAGGTAAGCAAAAAAGTGTGTGAATTGCTGAAAATGATGCAAATCATGTTAACAAAAAGATATCGATAAAATAGTAGATATGTTTATTTGATGTCGTGGAAGAGATTAGCTTTTTTAATGAAAATTTGTGAAATGCTTAAATGCTTACTCTGAAAATGCTTACTATTTAACATTATTTCAATGACGTTACATTTTAATCATTTTCTGACTGATTTTAGAGGCTCACGTGTTAGAGCATACTCCGTATTTGGGCGTTATTATTTTTCGGGCAAAAAAATTTCAGCCCCCCCCCTACCTTAACTCACCCTGTACGCCTATGCTTGTAGAATAATTATTTTTTACTTAATCTGGTAAATGTTCACCCAATCATTAACGTTGTAGCTTTTTTATTAATCGTTTTAGTTTTACCTCATTTTGTTTTGTTTGTTACGCTTCCACTGAAGTCTCTTTTTGGGTTTGTTCCACTGCTCGTTCCCAGACCCTAACCCTAGTAACATAATAAGAGTAATGGCGGATGACAAGAGCAAAGAGGTGAAAGGCCTTAGCGAAATTCGAACATTAAATGCTGGCCACGAGGGCCCTGTCAGAGGAGTACGTTTTAACTGTGATGGAAACTATTGCATTACGTGTGGAAGTGACAAGACACTAAGGCTGTGCAATCCACACAAAGGAACTTTGTTGAAGACGTACATGGGACATGGGTACGAAGTCTTAGATGCGGTTGCAGCCTACGAAAACGACAAGATTGCATCATGTGGGGCTGACAAGATGGTTATTTTATGGGATGTTTCTACTGGAAAAAGTATTAGAAAGTTTAGAGGTCACCAAAGTGTATGTTGAAAATGGAAATGATGGTTTCGTTAAACATGTTTTCAAATGTTAATCAACATGTAATCATAGACATAGTACCCAGTGGAAGGATTTTTAAGATTCAATAAAAGTGCCTTTTTGCAAAAAATAGCATTATTTCAAGAAAAGGTGCTATTTATGCATTGTGAAATTGAGTTTTTCTAAGATGAGAAGCCTGGTTTTGCTGAATAATCTAATTCAACGAAATCAAGATACAGTACAAGAATACTATCAGCTGATTCCTAAAGATATGCATGCATTTGTTGTTTTGCTTTTTAGAGAGTTAATTGTGTCAAGGCAAATCAACCAGATTTTTCAGTACTTATATCTGGTTCATATGATGCAACAATTAGATGCTGGGACACAAGATCAAGAAGTCAAGACCCCTTGCAGACATTAGATGAAGCAAAAGATAGTGTTTCTTCTGTTCAAGTATTTGAACATTCACTTCTTTCTGGGTTTGTTTGGTTTTCATTGCTTTAAATCATTCTTAATTAATAAAAAGTTAATGTGAAATATTTGATAGGATTCTTTTTAGAAAGAATACAAATGATACAACTATTCTCAGAGACCTATGTGTTTGAATCTTAGAGATCTGCATATTTATGTGCTGAGAGGGAGTGATAACTATTCATAAGATAACTGAGTATGAACTACTAGTCTTGTTACACCACATTGTTATTAATGCCAAAGCTAGATACCTTGATTTATCTTAAGCTTAGTATATTTTTCAAATTCAACTGAATAAAATAACTTAAGTGGAAAGTATTTATGTTGTTTTATTTGTTTCTTGGTCTTGAAAAGAAACAAGCAAATATCTGATAAAAAAGATGAAGGTTAATTAAACTCAATGGGAAAGGAATCATTGTACATCAATGTTTGTGGGTGCAGTTAAATGTGTATCCCAGTCAAGAAACCTACTGAAAGTGTTCCAAGCTACATCTAAGAAGCATGTCTTGAAACAGCTTCTTGTTTTATAAAAAAATATACATCATCTGTGATGGTATTTATTTTGACAGTATATAATACTGTATAGCCTTTGAAGAAGATATTTGGTGCCACTTTGTATAATATTTTCTCTTTATTCAACAGATCTGTAGATGGTTTTGTGAGGGAATATGATATGCGTCTTGGTAAAATGACAGAGGATTGTATGGGGGATCCTGTTACAAATGTTTCCTTTACCAATGATGGCCAGTGTATTCTCTCTGCTTCATTGAATAGTACAGTGCATCTTATAGACCGCTTCTCAGGAGAACTATTAAACAGGTAATTCTACCTTCACCCACATGTATAGGGTAAAGGTTTTGTCAAGGATTTGTACCCTTTGGCAAGTTCTCCTTTTTGAGGAAAATAATTTTGTGGTCTCTTATAAACTAGCAAACAGTCTTTGATTGTATGCTTCAAAATTAATTTTTTTAAAATTGCAAGACTATTGAAGCCTGCTGATACCAGATTGTTACATAGTACTCAATGCCAAAAAGTTAGAGCGGGCCTTGCTTGTGTGTGCAAAACAGGATGGCTCTACAATGAAACCCCAATTTCACCAATTAGAATTGAGCAGTGCTTGGGTTGGGAGAAACTCAAAGAACTCTGCAATTTTTTTCCACACCAAAGCAATCATAAAATCAAGACAAGGCATGAAATTATTCATTTCAAGTTAGATGAAATAATGTCAATATGCAGCCGGCTGTAACTGGTCTAAGTTTAAGCATGCAAAGCATGTTATACAGGCCCGTCAGAACTGGGGGGCTGTAGCCCCCTCCCCCCCAATGATAGCCAAACTGTAGTATGTTTCCTTTATAACAGTGGAATGAATGGGAAGGAAAACAATGGGCAGCCCCCCAATATGAATTTTGTTCCATATGAATATGAATTATGAATTCTGTAGCTAGACCAATTTTTCGGAAAACATGCAATTTGACTGATGATTGAAATTGAAAATTTCCGTTTAATGTTAATCCACTAGATTTCATAATGAATATATGGGCCCCATATTAACTTATGATTTTTTCATTTCAGTTTTAAAGGGCATCAAAATTCAAAATACAAAATTGACTGTTGTCTTTCACATGATGACAAGTATGTTATATGTGGTTCTGAGGAAGGATCAATTTACATATGGGACTTAATTGAGGCTAATGTTGTTCAGAAAATAGAAAATGGACACAGTAGTGTTGTATATTCACTGTCAGTACATCCTAACAAAATGTGTGTATTATCAGCTGGAAGTGAAGCTGTGAAGCTATGGGATAACAAAGATGAATACAAAGACCTGCTTCAGACTAGTAATTTACAATAATGCCTTTGAGATTCATAATCAGATAAAAGAAAAATGTTATATTATAATGTAAATACTAAATAAACGATGATAGCTCATTTTAATATTTTATATAATCAGAACATTGAGTATCAACGAATACTTATTTATTATACTTTGTTAAGAACTTGAAACTTGATGTTTTTATCAGCTTTTCTGCATTGTTAGTAATAGGAAAAAATTCAGCCGCAAAATAAAAGAATCCTATTTTTATGTGTTGCTTATTGCAGAATGTATAGTACTGTTCAAAAAAACTTTGTGAAAATAATATGAAACTCATTACATAAGCCCAGTTAATAGTTGATGCGTAATTTCATACCTGGTCACAAGAATTTTGGCAGGCCAGTTGTAAATTGCTCTCCTTACTTGTGTCTTACATCATTTGTGAAAAAGCTTTGAAATCATATGTAAACAGCACACAAGTTAGAAAGAAAACATTCAAGACAATCGAGGGTTTGGTAACAAAACAAGGATTGTGTATTAAAGTAGTTTCTGTAGCCAAATACAATGAATAAAAAATGAATAACCTGTTCTTCATTACAATAGATCCCATTCTGAAGATAAATGATATTGTGTTTGTTGTATCCTTGGTATTCTTCTTTATTTTAATTGTGTGCTTTGAGATACATTCTTGCATTTTCATCTGCAAGTTATTTTTAGGTGTGAAGATATGATATGTTCACTGGTTTTAATAAAGAAACTAAATTACACCACCCTAATGAGAGACAGGAAACATTGAGCCAGTGCTGGGTGGTGCAATTGTGAATTGGTTTATGGTCTTTAAAAGAAGTCAATGAGTGGGGAAGTTTCTTGATGAAAATATATGGGTCTCAAAAACAATTACGCCTTGAAAAGCCAGTTTAGCAATGTTGCAAGAAACATGTTACTCATCATAACACTTCATAGTTGAGAATGGCACATGAAAAACCAAGGCAGATGGCTAACTTGGAAATAAATGGAGAGACAGGTGCTTAATTACATATCAGGAATGCCGGGGCTGAGGCATATGCAGGTAATTGACTGTTTCCAACAGACAGGTATGTTTCCTACAGGAGGATGAATTTGTTAACGCACAAAAAATTGTGTATTCTTAAAAGCCTAAAAATTTGAAATTCAGGAGAAGATTTGAATACGCAATTAAAAAAGTTGATTCTAATGTCCAGCTCACACAAAATTAAGGATTCTTTTTTTACAAAATAGAGACTTTAGCAAGCAAAATTATACTGTGGTATAGTACTTGTATTCTTATTAAGAATCTGAAATATATTGGAGTATTACTGTATGGATAAGTATTTCGGAAAGACTCTGATACATGAAAAACCTAGTTGTGATATCTTACTACTTGTTCAGCTGTAATTAAGGATAGTGGAATATGGAAGACTTAAACAAACTTAATATACTACTTAATCATGTTTAACTGAATTTGGTAGTGGCCTCATATTTACATATTCCTGTTTATAATCCTCCATCATCTGTGCATATTCTTTTAACATAAGATCTCTGCAGCTATTTGTCAGTTTTGTAACATCATCTTTTGTCATTCCAGTGGTCTCAATTGGTTGTAATACTTTAACCCGCAGTATTCCTTTAAAAAACAATGCTACCTTAAAATGACAAGAGTAAACAATTCTTAGAAGAAGTAACTAGGTTTCCTGTTCTAAGGGACAAGATCATTGTTCCAGACCACACAGATAGCCAATAAAAGCTCATAACCAGTCAAGCTAGACTGTGGATTTCATTACAGAATGATTGTCTGGTTTGCCATAGATACTTCTCTGCATAAATTGTGTACAGAAATGTACTTATTTGCAACATACCTGAGTTAAAAATTTTGTTTGGTATATCTATGAAATTACGGCAGTTTCCAACAACAACTGGTACAACTGGAATCTAAAATGAGAAATTGCCTAATCACTGAATAAACCACAACATAATAGATTAAAAGGGAAAGCTTTTTTGGCTGTTGAGCAATCAGTATGCTTCATGCAGTATAATATGAGGCTGGTTTTGAAAATACAGTTGCAAACACTGTTGGTTGCACAAGAACCTTTAAAACAGTGACAAAAGAAGCCTTATAGATTTTTCAAATAAAAACAATACACATTTAGAGGACAAATCTAAAATGCAAAATAGAAATTGATGGAATTTAAATCAAACAAAGTAGACAAATTTGAGTATCTAGGGAGCTTAATAACATGAAAACAAATCAGATCAAGAAAAAACTGAAGAAGTGGGATCGCGAAAAAGCATTTAAATCTATGTCCAATGTTCTCACTGCCAGACATATTAACAATCAAACTAAACTTAGACTTATATATTGCTATATATGGAGTACAATAAAATATTGATGTGAGACATGGACAATAAGATAAGTGATGAGAAAAGCAACTTGCGGTGACAGAAATGTGGTTTTAATGGAAGACAGTGAAGATATCCTTGACAAAGAAAATGACAAATGAAGATGCATTGAGAAGGGCCCAGACTGAAAGACAATTAATGAAGCAAAAACTCCAGGGACAATGTAGTTTATTAAGTCATGTATAAAGGAAAAAAGCATAGAATATGATATGGTAACTAGGGAAGAAGAATAAAAAAGAGATAGAGAGATAAAGACATATCTCTTGGCTGAATAAGCAAATGTTTAGACAGCAAAGGCAGGACGTTATCCAACTGGTAAAAAACAATGCTGTGACATGCCAATGTCAAATCTGACAAGCTCAGGGGAGTCACATAAACTATTATTCTCCGGGGAGGTCCATCTGCAGTTATCACCTAGAATTCACCTAAAAGTAAGATTTAAAGATATGAGGAATGATGTTAATAAAAGGTCGTGCAACTTAGGAAAACGCACCTGTGCTTCTATTGCAAGATGGAATCCACCTTTTTTAAATGGAAGCATGCTATCATTCTGACATCTAGTCCCTTCTGGAAAAATCCATACATTTGCCTGTATTTAATTAAAATAACTGGTTAAAATTTTTGAGAAAAGAGAAGCACAAGGTTAAAGCCAAAATGTTGCAAAAAACAAAAGCAAATGTAGGAATTGACTACTTTTTTGCATTAACAAAAAAGAGCTCAGCACTCTGAGCTCCCTAGCACTACAACCTTTGAGAAGTGCATTGAATATTTCAAAGGCAATTTTTGTGACAAAAAGTTTATATTTCTTCTATTTCCAGTGCAAAATCTCAACATTGCATCTAAATATTTCTGCCACAAACTTCTAAAAAGTTGCAAAGATTTAGCTATTAACAGAAGCTCAATAAGTGATAAAATTTTTTTACTAGCCCTGAATTACAAAACCTGAAATAAACTCCAAAATCAACCAGGAAGCCTACATGGTATCATTCTTTGCAGGGCTTTCACCTTCAGAAATTAATGTGCGCTGCCAAAAACTCGCGTGATAAGAGTGGGGTGTGGGAATCAAATTTATTTTTTAACACAAAGCAAAAAAATTTTTCTATTGAATCATTGAATGTGACAAAACTTTCAATAGATGAATTGAATGCTACAGATTGTGTAGTTGTGTTCATGTTTCCCTCGGGAGTAATTGTTAAGGGTACTGTTCAGCATAGAGATGTTTCATCTTCAAATGTTATCAACTGAAAACAGGGTTGTTTGAAGATGAAGATGGAACAGCGAAAACGAAGTCATTGGAGAATGGAGTCATTTAAAAACGAATTGTTTGAATGAGAGAATCGAAAACAGAGTCATTTAAAAATGAATTCATTCATCTTCAGTTTCAAGATGAGCTCGAACAAAGGATATGAAAAAAGAAAAAAACAGAGTAATAGGAAAACTTTTGTTTTGGCCAAAACGGTGTGGGCCAAAGCAAATATTTATTATTATTATTATTAACTCTTTATTTACAATGTTGGCATAAAAAAGGTATCAAATAGTGTTTCTTAAGTGGATTGACCTATCAGCATCCAGTAATTGTGCTCTTCAAGAGAAATATTTATCACTGGGTGCCCGAATAATGGCTTTCGAAGATAGCCTCGGGCGCATGCCTGCACGCTAGCGTGCTAATGCGCGTCCCCCATGGAAAGCCCTGCTTTGGCAAGTTTCTTGCAGATGCTGATTTCTTGCAAATGGCAAGTTTCTTTAATCAGAAATACTGATTAAAAACATTGTACCTAACAAGCTTACATAATCAACATTTTAGTTAATCTGGAAAACAAAATGAAAACCTTTTTCTTCTTTAAATCTGCAACCAGCTTTTTCATGACATTAATTGCACTAGATGAGCTTCTTTCAATGAAGATAGTCCCAGCGAGCCAAGCAGCCCATCCAAAAAGTGGAACATACAAAAGAGATTTCTTTGCAAGTGTTGCAGTTGGTCTTGGTGCATCCTGTCAGATTAAATTGGTGAGTAAATGTTTTATATTACATAACATTTACATGTACATATAAAACACAAATGTAACATCATACCAAATAAATGATCTCCTTTCTAACAAATGACACAATAATCTGTAGGTAGCCTAACAGCACTTTGTTGTATAGTATGGTCAGATCTCTGATGCAACACAGAGGTCTTTGAACTGGTAGCAAATTGATATTGTCAGGCACAGATTACAATCAAATAATTTACTTGCATTGTCATCACTACCTTATCAATGTTCAACTCTACCTAAAGACTTGTGCACAACCTGGTCTTCTAGAGTTCTGATGCTTAAGCAATAAAAGTATTTTCCTCTACATAACATCACCTGTTGGGGGAAAGGAATTTTTGTTCTCATAAAAGAGAGAGGAACAGCCTTCAATACTGCTAATCTTTCGAAATCATGGAAAAGGGAAATGATATGCCCCCTCCTCGTGCCATTGTAAAAAGGCTATGATTTAGTGGTAAATTTCAGGCACACAAGGTCCATGAAGCTGTAGCTTTTTGCTGAAGTATGAAATATTCAGATTGTGGCATCAGAGATAATAGTGGAAAAACCAACATTAAAATTTTGTCAATTTGTCTAGAGCACTGGTCCACCCCTACCCCAAAATTTGCTCTGGTGTCCCTGTATTTTGATAGATTGAAACAAAAAAGAATCTGGAACATAAAATAAAAACCTTTGCTATAACAAGACAATCCAAAGATGACTGGTGATTGCACATCATAACAGCTGGCGCATCAAAAGAACACAAGTTCTCTTGCCCTCTGTCACAATTGTTATCCCTAAGAGCCACCAAACCATCCGAGATATGTGATAAAGAAACTTCCCAACTACCAGATTGTCAGCATTTCCTGGTCTCAGCAGGCAAGGGAATAACGAAACACTAAATATAAACACAATATACAAATGGAATAGCGCATACTTGATCACGAATTTACAAGAAGGAATCAGCCGGCATAAAGCAAAGAGGGTGACAACTGCAATCAAAATGTACTGCATGGCCGCTAGTAGCTGTGCGATTCGACAAAGCACAATGGAAATTTACTAACAACAAGTTTGGGCAGTTGGCAGAAAATATTTCTTCCACTTTGTTATCCGTTGAATATCAAATTGTTACATTTTTCTTCGTCGTCCGATTGAGCCACTCACTTGTCTTCTCCAATCGTTTGATGGTTCATTTTAAACTGAGGCTTGTCTTAACGAGAACGAGGCTATATCAAAAGCGCTCCAAGGCATGTGCAAAAAATAGCCTGGAAAACCATCTACTGTTATTAATTAACAAAGTAATGGACAAGAGCTTGCAGAATTTTCTTGACAGCCATACTGGATTTCGACTGAAAAATGACAAGACAAGAGTAAGCTAAAAATTTTCTCAAAAATGCCGTGAAATTTCAGGGTTTCTTAATTCGATATGTGTGTCTTCCATAATATCGAGAGGGGGCAATCATGCCAAGCTTCTTTAAATGTAGTTTAAGCAGGGGCGGATCCAGAAGGGTTTGAAGGGTGCTCGAGCATTGATTTGATTTTTTATTCAGGGTAAAGGGGTGTGAAGGGTGCTCAAGCATTGATTTATATTCAGGGTAAAGCTTGCTGCCTGAGCCCTTGTTGTTCCTTTTTTATTCATTTCAAAAATTACATACAAAACATCTTTAAAACTTACCTTTCTATTCTTGACAGAGATGTTCCTTTTGGTTTCCTTTTTATTCCTATGCCAAAGTGATTTACACTATATATTAAATTGAATTTGATTGAACAAATCATCAAAAAATGGACAGTATAAACCCCAAAATTGGATGTATTAATAGCTGTTTGGACGTGTTCAGATCTTGTCTAACCTTTCTCTATTGTATTCTTTAATTCTCCTTTGAACCTATTTTCTTTAACGATGCGTACTCCACTTCAAGGGCTTCACTCCACCTGCCACGTTTTTTTTTATCAAGCTGCTTTCTGAAATTTATATAAATGAAATTCAAAGAGTCAAAAAAATAAATTTTGTTTTGGAAATTTCTGGGCTTGGGCCTTTGGCCACTGCAAGCCACCATATCATATTTGACTACAGTTTCCAAACGTTTGTACCTCAAGTGTATATAAGAGAGGGAGAGCTGCAAATTGCATTCAATTGGTATAAAATGCTGAAGCCACAGTTCCAAGTTCTCATCAAAGTGTAGCAAAAAATTACTAAATTAAATTAAGGCATCCAGGCTTTTTAGTTCATAGAAGACTTTCATTTTATTATGGCCTATGAGCAGGGGTACAGAGTTTGTGCATAGCAACATCCTTAGTTATGAAGCCTTCTATTAGAGCACTCCTCAGAATAATTTCTAGATCCGCCCCTGTTAAGCCTAAGTACCTTTCAGCTTTAACTTGTTTAAACTCAGTTTTCTACAATTTAAACATGTTGGATCCATGCAAAAATTTTTCTGACAGTTAGATTATTGGAGGGGTTCAGAATTTAATGATATGAAGTGACCTCCTGCCCTACAGTTTTCTAATATTTTCATTGCTTACCCACTCTCACTGCAACCTCTAGCAAAAAGAGCATGATAGTATTAGTGTGGTGTTATTCTAGGTCCAGGAGCAAAGCAAGGAACTGCAAAGAATAACATAAATGTTCAACATTAGCTTTTCTAGTAGAAAGTGCAACAATAAAAAACCATATATTGTTTAAAAATGTATTTTACTTTCAGAAAATCCTTAGAAGGCAGAGAAATAGCCAAATTGATGTTCCCAGGCAAATAACTGATGAAACAATTTGAAACAATTAATCCACATTGAAACAATTTACTTTGAAAGTTTTGTGCATATTAAAATGTCCATAATTTCTTTGCTAAAGCCGAATAGCAGGTACCAACCCCCCCCTCTCAGTCCAGTGCATTAGTAGGTTAATAAGTAGGCTTTAAAGAATTTAACTTGGAAGCGTCTAATGTCAAGCTTCAAACATCACCTGAAAATCTCTAGCGATCTTTTTCTCATCAATTACCAGATTGAACAAATTAATTCTACTTGGACCCCCTTGACTCTATAGCAACAAATTTCATTTCTCCAATGAAAACCTTTTCTTCAAGACAAGTTTTCAAGCTCAAAACACTTTGTACAAAGCAAAACACTACACACAAAATGGATTAAACTATGCCCAATGGTGCTAAGTTTTGGAGAAAGGTGATGTTAAAAAGAAGTTTTGAGTCCCGATACTTGTTTTTTTAAAGTTGACTGTGGCATGTGCAATTAATGCTACAATCTAGATCTGCTCCTGATCTGTCCCCATGGTTTCAATCTATGATTCCAGATCAAAGCACCTTGCTAGTATCTTTCACGTTTTCTTGAGTATCATCATCATCAAATTTTCCCTCCAATCCAATTTTTACCTTGTAGAAAAGCATAGATGTAGATTTTTCAATAAAGTAACAGTTCACTTCATATCATTAAGTAATATATAATTTGACAATGAAGCTATAAAAAACAACTGAAAAACAGAGAATCCCATAATGGGTCTTTTTCCATTTCCATTTAATTTTGTTGACCACTTTTTAACATCCTGGGTTCCCCTGATACGGAAACATTTTAACTCCCTCTGTTCCTTTCTGTGAAAATGTCTATTGATATTTCTCCTTGTAGTGATAGTGACACATGGGTTAAAGTTTGTTATAACTTTTTTGGCATATTGCTATCGCCAAATTTAAACTCATAAGAAAGTAGTTGTTTATAAATTAAAATGCTTCATTTTCAGGTTGTTTGTAGCATCACTGGTCATGAACTGCCATGCAATTTGAATGCCTTGGAATGCTATGTCAACAGTAAGAAGTACAAACAATTCACAAAAAATGGTACTTGTGACCTGTCAAAAGTTGAAGAATTCAAAGAGTACTTGATACCTAGTAAAAAAGGACAGTAAGTGAATAATTCAGATATTTTGTCAGGATACTGAAATTCGAAGTGATTGAATAAAGAGTTTTATTCAGTTTTGCATTTATTCAGTTTTTATTTAGAAATTGTTGAGAGAGGTCTTCATTTTAGTTAGTATATCCCATCCTGTACAAGCACCATGGAGCAGGTATATCCCATCCCATACAGGCACCTTTATTTGCAAAAAATCTATAATATTAGGAAGCAAGCCACCTGTAAAGCCTCTTTTTTCGGTTTTAGCCCTCCCCCTCCTGCCCCCTTTTTTCTAGACCCCTTACTTTTCTCAAAGCTCCACAGTGCCTGCCATATGGATTTCCCCTTTTGCTAGATAAATATTTCTTTTGGTTGTGGTTTCTATTAAAGTGAATTGACAAAGTTTTAAGATTAGATTTTGTTGTCAATTGTTTTGGCTTTTGAGTGATCCTGTTATTTAGGATCAGAACCAACCTGCGGTAACTAAAATGGAATTTGAAATTTAACTGGTATTGTATTTTTCAAAGAAACAAGCTGTTCTGCTTGATTACCAAGAAGGAGATAAACAACATACCATCCCATATAGAGAATCATGTAACTGGACGAAAGTTTCAAAGAGATCTGAAAATATGTAAGTTGCTAAGTTTTATTTCATTTTTTCTGCTTTTCTAATTTCTTTGTATAATCAGCCAGAGTAGTACAAGCAATTTTCAGTTAAAGATTAACAAAATGCTCTTGTCACATAACAGTCAGCTTAAATCACTTCTATAGTTTTATCAATTTTAGAAATTCTAATTTTCCCATCAAAAAATCAAATTTTGTGTCCTTTCTATGCAAAAAATCTAGCTTGATAGTTCTTTTGGCGTATTATGGTGATATCATTTTCTTTGACTAGTAGAATGACTGTTTTTCTACCTGATGGACGTTTGCAGTGGACTGAAAATTTTATTGAAAAAAAAGTAATGCAAATTTTTCTAACATTTTAATGAAAGTGTAGGAAATACTCAGGTTGTTGGTAATTGGTTTTGGAATTAGCAGGTGGCTGCAACAACAGCAGGGTTTGGATTCAGGTCACTTTAATATACTCTTTATTCCTTTACTTTTCCTGGGGTTGTTTATAGAATTCAACCTTTTTAATCCAGCTTCTGTTAGGCTGTGACATTTATGAAAGGGTTTGTTCATTTTAATCTTCCTTTTTCTTTTTAGATAAGAAAAAACTTGAAGGTGTAGAGGAGTCCAGTGATCAGGGACAAAGTCGATCAAAATTTTATAATGAAGAAAAACCGCCTACTGTCGCCGAAGAAGAAGAAGAGTCAGATGATGCAATGATGATGGAAGAAAGAATCGAGAAGCAAGATGAAGAATTCCTTGGGGGTATTTGGGTCCCAAAGGGTAAGATCACGGAAGACCAAGTTGCTAGTTGTGAAGAATCAATGGATATGGATATGAAAGAAGAGTGCACAAAAGATGATAAGCAAAATAAAAAAGTAGCAAAAACAGAAAAAAATAAACTAAAAAGAAAATTCAAGCAGACAAAGAGAGAAAAACTAGTCAAGACAATGAATCAAAAGAAGAAGAAATAGTCCCTCAATTGTCTCTAGATTTTTTCTATGTTCACAATGGTATTTGAGCTGTTAAACATATTTTTTCAATTATCATGGTATTGATAAAGATATAGTATGGCTACTAATATATGTCAGCTAGAATGCAGCTTATCTTAGTTTTCTCAACATGTTGGGCTTTTTCTAGGACATGGGGTTCATCCAAATTTGACCCTTGATTGCCAATCATTGCCCAATTAATATACAAGTTCTGTTTTGTGCAAGATTAAGGGATTATATTTGCGTCTTTAAGGTGAAAAGAGAAACATGATTCTGGGAAAGATAGTATTACTGTGAAGTTACAAGATTTTGCAAAATGTTTTAACAAAGATGTAACAGTTTTTCCTAAACATTCTTATATTGCCTCACTGTTGTTTACTGGTTAATCCTAATCTAATAAAAAGAAGAAAAAGAAATGCGGAAGACTTGTTAGGCCATATATTGTGAGTTAAGGGTTGAGCGAAAACTTCCAGTAAGCGAGAGTGAAGGGTTTGCCGCCGAGGTAGGGCTACCTCAAGCAGCTCTGCTGAGCCCAATCTTTTTTGATATCGTCATTATAGATCAGCTCACCAAGCAAGGAAGGGAAGTACCTTGGTGGGCGGCGATTCGTGAGATTGGTGCAAGAGCTCAAGTGAAGTGTCTGAAGAACTTCCGGAGAAGTAGAGGAGCGCCATTGAAGACGTGGTTAAATTTCAGTCTGCGGAAGACTAGAGGACTTATCTGTGGTTTGGAGGCTGTAGCTCTTGATGTAACAAAGAGGCCAGAGAGAAAGCTTGAGATAGTAGAAATAATAATAATTAAGTGGGTGACGGGGATAACGAAATTGGACAGAAAAAGGAATGAGATGGTGAGGAAGACATTTAAGTAGGAAATATCTAAAAGAAGCTCGAAGTGTGAAGACTTTGATTGTTTGGCCACGTAAAAAGGAAAGATGAGGAACTGGGAGAAAATTGAAGAGTGGAGCGTTTTAATTGAAATCAAGGAAGACCAAAGAGGGAATGTATGGATTGCGTATGGAAAGAAATATTGAACTGGAGACACATGTCTTGAATGATGAATTGCCTTTGTCATTGTCATTTAGCAAAAAATATCGTTATGCAGCACAAGATACTTGACATCGTATGCAGCTGTATTTTATGTGCTAATAAGAATTGCAAATGCTCGATACAAAATTAATAGGAGAATAAAACTCGTAACAATTAGGAAAATTGTTACACAAATGTATATCCAGTGGGCCGTACAACTTAACATATATTTGATACATCTATCTTAGCTTTGGATTATCCTTAATTTTTTAAAATACGTCCAACTACAGTGGAATCCCAATCTAACGAACTCTGAATGAAGGGAACCAAGTTCGTTGTATCAAGAGTTCGTTAAACCCGGAGAAAACTTTTCCGTTCTTTTCTCAGTTCATGCTTTAAAACCTTCAATTAGCTTGTTTAGGCTATCTCCAACTACCCATCATATTTTACTCCAAAAAACCAAGCTGAATTCAAATATTTCTAATATTTCTAATTGCACATTAATATCTCTATGTTCCTCTTATGATTTAGGACCAAGTGGTTGGCAAAAATGTTATCACTTCACTTTAAGTAGGCGGCTGAATGATGTCTTCGATTACTTCACATTGTTAGTTGTCCTTTTCTTTTCGCATTCAATTTTGGTCTCCCAATAGAATTTTATCGTTGCTCATAAAGGTATTCGTTAATTTCAATGTACTCATTCGCAGTAATTTCTGACGCAATCAAACTTTCATCTCGTGCACTAAGTCTATTGGAGCTGTCTAGTTTCCATACTGCTCGACCTGATGACGTAATGATTTTACCCTAAACCTAACCCTAAACCTAAACCTAACCCTAAAACTAACCCTTACCCTTTTCTTGAAATAATAAATCGTGCTAATTTATGACTATTAATCATACTTATTTATAACTATCAGGTCGAGCAGTATGGAAACTAGACAATTCCGAGTCTATCAGCCAGTGGTTGAAATGTATCACCGGTATGTTTTGCCGATTACAAAAATGATTCCCCCCGCCAAAATGATAAATTAACACCGAAAACAAAAAAACAACAATAAAAGATAAAAATTTATGAAAAGTTCCTTATATCGAGGGTAATTATGATGAAGGGACCTAAAAATTGGTTCATAATAACGAGAGTTCGTGATATCCGGGGCTCGTTATACCGAAAAAATTTGTAAGGAAATTGTTAGTCAGAATCCAAGGGACTAGACATTTAGTTCGTTATACCGAGATTTCGCTGCATTAGTATTCACGTTTGCCACCAACCGTATTTACTAGATTATAAGCCTACCTCGTTTATAAGCCGACCTCGTTTATAAGCCGCCCTCGTCTATAAGCCGCCCTTGACTGTAATCCGCAGCAAAACTTGCCCAAATATAATTAAAAGCGGAGAATTGTATTCGAGAAAAACATAGTACTTGAAAGTTTATTCAAAGAATTTCATGTTAATAATTCATAAAGAAGTAGCCAGTAGAGAATAATTAGTACAAAAACTAACATAAAACTTGTTTTTACCTTGCGAAAGGATATTCCAGATCATATTAAATACCCAAGCTATAGAACTTTCCTTAAGGAGTAGGTTGTTTCGAGCTGAAAGAGTGAAAAGAGAAACCCCAATCCCTATCAGATTATATAATAGTATTTTTATGACACTAAATACCTAAGCTATTTTCAAAGAAAGTTAAAACACATTGGACTATAAAATTTTAGCTACAGTCCGTATGTGTTCAATAGAAACACACGATGTGTTTGTCTTCAAGTTTCCCCTGATGTCTTTTTGCACCTTTTTTGCTGTTTTAAAAAGCAGCTACACAATTTGCATGTTGAAAATGTTCTAATCATCAGCAAATATTTCGTTCTTACAGACGTATATAAATTTCATTAATCATTTGATTCTTCATAATATGCTCCTCAATAACATCAGTACTGTCGTTATCTGTATCGAGAGCTTTATGTTTGAGCAAATAGAGAATCCGATACATTTTTCATTTATCTGTTTTTGAAGGGAGTGTGTCCAAAAATTTATAGTACGATCGCTAAAACTAATGATGAAATGCAGGCATGAACTCAACTGTTCTGTGATTTGATTGTTTTAAACCAAGGTTCTTGTATGTCATGGCTTGGACTGGGTTACACCCCTTTGATCGTTACCAAAGAATATCTGTATTGTTACATCAAAGAATGCTTCCTGTACAGAAAAGACTGCTGTTTCCAACACGGACACGACGTCAACATACATAGAAAATGTGTCTGTTCAAAACAGACCTGGAACCAACAACAATATACATATTTTCTTATTAGGTAAGTGGAGCGTTTAGTTTTGTCACCGTTGCTATCGTTGGTCCTCTCATACCCTGGGTAACAGAGCCACAAAATCTCTATCGCAGAAATTGAATATAAAAGCGGAGGGGCGTCTAGCAGAGCAAAACTTATCCTTCTTCTCAGGTAGACGCTCCTCCTCGTCGTCCCATTTTTCTATTACCGTGCTCGGATTTATGTAGCTCTGGTACCCTGGGTAGCGTTCTAGTAGCGTACCCTGGGTAACTGAATAGAGAAGCGGAGGGGCGTCTAGCAGAGCAAAACTTATCCTTCTTCTCAGGTAGAGGCTCCTCCTCGTCGTTCCTTTTTTCTATTACCGTGCTCGGATTTATGTAGCTCTGGTACCCTGGGTAGCGTTCTAGTAGAATACCCTGGGTAACTGAATAGAGAAGCGGAGGGGCGTCTGGCAGAGCAAAACTTATCCTTCTTCTCAGGTAGACGCTCCTCCTCGTCGTCCCTTTTTCTATTACCGTGCTCGGATTTATGTAGCTCTGGTACCCTGGGTAGCGTTCTAGTAGCGTACCCTGGGTAACTGAATAGAGAAGCGGAGGGGCGTCTAGCAAAGCAAAACTTATCCTTCTTCTCAGGTAGACGCTCCTCCTCGTCGTCCCATTTTTCTATTACCATGCTCGGATTTATGTAGCTCTGGTACCCTGGGTAGTGTTCTTATTATCACCTTTAACATTGCATGGTTTTTATAGGATATACGATTATTGATTGTCTTTTCCATCCCTTTATCTTAAGTCGGTGTGTACAAAGTAGGTACAAAAGGCTTAATTAAACCAAATTACTAAAGTAACAGTATAACAAGCTCCAATGATTAACTTACAGTAAAATCTTGCATATAAGAACCTGGTTTTTTTCAATTAGCCTAAACAGGTTTTAATATGAATTGTACTCAAACTGAATTTAGCTATCAAGGTTCTTAAGACAGGTTCTTATATTTTTGTAGCAAAATCATGATTTTACTCAAACTAGCTCATAGCAAAATCTCTGAAATGTCATTTAAAAGACAAGGTCTTTATGTGGAAAACTTGAAATAAATAAAAAATTAAAATGTTGTACTTTGCAAATGCTGAATATTAAGAAAATTTATTTTAATGATGGAAACAATAGATACAGTATTGTACTTTGGCTTAAAAAAATTGTTTTGCCAAGTTGATTTTAGATATAAGCAAATAATGATACTTTATTCAACAGTTTTCACCTGGAAACTGTTACAGCAGCTCCACTGGTAAGCACCCAGGAGGCCTAATTTTGAAATTTTAGCCTAGGTCCTTATACGTGGGTTTTTCTATACTATATTATAATTATCCAACGAATCATATATTACTAATAACCTGTCTGCACAGGTCGCAGAAGCATTTAAATGCAATAAAGCATTAATATAACGCTTATTCTTTATTTATTTTATCATTATTATATTGATATCAACCAAAACATTATGTCGTAATTCTTGCTTAGATAGTAGGTTTTTCGTAGATTGGGTATTGATTTTATAGAAGTACAGTGGGGTATGAATACTACAAACTGTCAGGGATGCACAGTGGTTCCATCTGACGCTGTCCCCTTTCTTGCTTAAGTAACCATCCATCTTTCCCCATTCAATAACCAAATACGGCGTAATCAATATCCTTGTAGACATTTTCTATAAATTTGCTCTTTGGATTGAAGTTTTTATAAATCTTTGTGGTTTGTGGTTTGTGCTTCGGTGAAAATGAAAAAAAACTGAACATATGCTGATTGTGTACATCTTACATCTTTATAAAACTGAAATGAAATTGCATTTTTTGGCAAAATTGTCAAAAATTGTGTGGGATGGGAAACGGAATTGGAATCAAAAACATGTGTAGTTTTTTATTTAGCTGTGAACAAATAAATACGACAATTTTTGACGATTAGCTAACTCTTCTCGTTACGAAGACGATGAGTTAACTCAGATAGGTATTTTGAGGGACCCGTTTCTCATCATGTAAGCAATATCGTTATTCGTCATTACACCTCATGTAAAACTACTTTTAAATCCCTGTGACTTGTGACAAGAAAATTCCATCATACTTTTTATCCTATTCTGTGATGCAGCAATAGTTTTACTGATTCTCTCTTGGAGAAGCATTGTGAAACAAGAATATTAAAGAACAGAGCCTTAGAATGGAAGCTTGCTTACAACTAGAAGTCGGAAAGAAAATGTTTCTGTCGAAAATCAATTTTCAGTCAGATAAAGCCATCCAAAAAAGCATACATCGCCGTTGTTCAACAGACTGTTTGGTTTTCCTTTTAGCTTTTAGCTGGACACTTGTTGGGGAGACGAGCAAGAGAAAGTTTTTTAAAAAGTGAGGCAACCCTCCGTCATGGAGTCAAAGAGCATGCGCACAGAACGAAGTTATTATTACGCATGCTCTCTGAATCCAGGACGGAGGGCTGCCTCACTCATTTGAAAATTTTCGCTCGCTCGTCTCCCCAACAAACACGTCAACAACCTAAAGTGGCTGCCTGAGCCATTCATCATTAAACTTAAAATCAGGTGTTTAAAAATTTACTCTCTTACATCACGTTTGACAAAAGCAAAGGGTACATAATGTTATCAATAGATACTTATTTTACATATAAAACCGTCTTTAAGAACGAACCCTAAGATGTCCAAAATATTAAGAGACCATAGTACGCTCAATAAACGGCTAGAATATGATTCTAAAGACAGGGTGGCAATGATTCTTCTCGATCATTAAGCACCTATTGTTTAATTTAATTGTCTAAATTTAATTGATGTAAGGAAAGAAGAGCTTCTTGTGTCTTATTAGATCTCAAATTTAACGTGTCGAATAAAATAAAGTAGCCTTTTTGAAAGGTGCGAGAATCGAGGCTAGTGAGTAACCATAGAATTTAACCATGCGCAAAAGGCGCCCAATTTGCACAGTACAGAACTTATACAGCAACTAGCATCGTTACATCTTCCCTCAGATAGTTTCAAACACTTCTGATCCGTTGTCTGTCATTTAGAAAACAGTTTCTCAAAAACTTTCATTAGTGTTTAGCTCTCCCAGAAAACGGACATCGTGTTCCGACTGAATTTGTGTTTATCTTGTTGGAGTTCGTGGCAAAATGGCGCCAATAAATAATGTACGCAAGGTCATGTTGTTGCATATGATCAAAAGATAGACGGAAATGAAAAAAAAACATTATATTGCGATTGTAAGAAGAAGTACTTTATTAAAAATTTGTATCTTGATCCCTTTATCACTCCAGCGCAAGAACACAGCACGGGTTTGTTGACAATCTTGCAAAAGACTTTCAAGGGCAAATACAGGGTGTTTGAAGATGGTGTGGGAAGAGTACAGTGAAAAGAGATTCAAACAGACATTTAGAATAAACATTTAAAATATATCTTTCAAAGAACATTCAGTAGGTAACGCATTTCGAAACGATCCAACCCACGGCGTCGTCATTTTCGTCGGAGTGTATTTTGTGCACTTTGGGCATGAATTGCAAATATCGGCCAGCGTGAAAGTTCTCAAAATCTCAATAGGCAAGGACAATCAACTTTGGAGTATTGTTTATTCTAATGATGTACTTAATTATGCATTGTATTCGACACGTAAAATGCGACATTTGAATTAAAGTCGCACCAATGTCGCACCAAAGGCCTAAGAAACATTAAGCACTGAAATCTACGAAAGTATTGTGTTCTAATCCTGATTTTAGTATCTTACAAAAAGCTAGCGTAAAAATTGCTCTGCATTTCTCTGCTTGTATGGTAGTAGTTCGAGGGGTTGCACAACTCTTCAAGTCACCAGTAATTAACAGGTTTACTACCTGTCGAGGATTACAATAAAATAGCCATTGATGCGCTCAAGGAAAAATAGCAGGTGGTCGATTTCAGTGTTCCTGGGCATTTTATTGTTGAAAACAACAGAAAAGAAAACTTTGCAGGCAGTTGTAATCTTCTGAATACAAACACCTTCAATATCACATAAAAGAAGCCTCGTGGTAGCATATCAAGCCGAATTCCTAGAATTCTATGCACCTGAATCTGTGCTGGTTTATTACGATGTGTCACGCAAAGGTTGTTCTCTTCAGGTA